CGCGCGCGGCTCGGCGCGGGCTGTTGCGGGCCGCGCGCGGGCCGTGCGAGGCAGGAGCAGGCCTCGCGCGGCTCGGCACGAGCTGCTGCGGGCCGCGCGCGGGCTGCGCGAGGCCGTAGCAGGCCGCGCGCGGCTCGACGCGGGCTGCGCGGGCTCGGCGCGGGCTGCGCGCGGCAGCTGCGAGCTGCGCGCGGCTCGGTGCGGGCTGCGCGCGGTTGCAGCGGGCTGTGCGCGGCTCGGTGCAGGCTGCGCGCGGCTGCAGCGGGCTGCGCGCGGCTCGGTGCGGGCTGCGCGTGGCTGCAGCGGGCTGCGCGCGACTCGGGGCGGGCTGCGCGATCTCGGTGCGGGCAGCGCGCGGTAGCAGCGTGTGTGCGGGCCCGACAGGCGTGTAGAGGCGGCGCGCGGGCCTTACGGGCCTCTAGGGGAAGCGCGCAGGCAAGGCAAGGCAAGGCAAGGCATACAAGGCAAGGCAAGGCTACGTGGGGTAGCGCGGTAACCGCAGCGGTAGGTGGGCCCGAAAAAAAACGGTCCTACGGACCTTAGTGCTCTGAAACCATGTTAGAATCTAGCAGCAGGAATGGATGAACTAACAGGATGCAGGAGTACAAGTAGTAAACCCTAACTAGGTTGTACCCCATATGGGCTACCCCACTACAGCCTAGACAATATGCAGCACATATAGTTTGACACCTTCTTCCACAGCGCTTGTTCAGGGGGTGCTGGCTGCACCAGTTTCTACCGCACGCAGGCTAAGGGGGTGTGTCAAACAATATGTTTAATATATACCCTGCGTGCTGTAGGTACTGTAGTTATTATTATTAAGAGTTGGTGGTGCACCTTCTTTGTTGCTTTGCTATATGTACCTTGTGTGCTATAGTGAAACCCCTTTTTCCTTGCCTAAACTCTCTCGACACTTTCTCCTCTTCACCCTAGCATGGCTCCTCACCTCTAGCTACTATCTTGACACTTTCTTACTTGCTCTTTGATTTCTTCTTAGTTCAATCGATTCTTTCATCAATCCTTCTTTGTTCTTTATCCATGCACTTTTCCGTGTTTCTGTTCCACCCAATTGCTTTCTATTGTTATCATTGATATTTTCTTCTCTGTTTTGTATTCCGCATTACCATTTTGTTACGTTTTTTAAACGATCAGATCCTAGGTTCGGTGTTCTTTCCTTCCTTTCCTTGTTTAGGCACCCTACGCTCTCGTTTTATTTGCTTGTTTCACTCCTTTTCAATATCACTTTTCTAGCATTGGCTCATCCGATGTGCACTTGTATCTCTGGATTAATATTAAAAAAACTTCAATCATCTTCATGTAGTTTTCACTTTCCACATTCTAGTTTTCTGCTCACTAGTATTAATATTGTGTCATTCTCTATTATTTTGAATAACACTCACTGTCTCTTTCCCATGCAAGTTTTATTCCCTATCCTCTTTGGTTCGGGAGCTAATTATTCTGATTTTCTGTGTCTTGAAGTTTCAATACGTTTTTACGGCCATTCTCTTGGTTATTTCAGTTTTGTTCCCCCTAAATTGAGTTCTTTATATTTTCTCCATTTTCTTGCATTCCATGATTGTATTTTTGTTATCGCAGATTTGCAGATACTGGTTCTCATGTGGGATGGAAGGAAATGTCTCGTACCAATTTTAATTCTGAGTTTGTTGAAGTTTCGTTTCATTTCCGTTTCTATTATGCTGCTAATTGTTGCAATAGTAATGCAGCCTGCATGTTTCAAAGAGATATCTTACCGATCATCGTCACAAAAGGTTGGGTGGTGTACCACTATGACAGCGAAGCCATTTTCAGCTGGACTTGATCGGTGTAGACTCTTTAGGGTGTGCAGATTGTGTTGCTCTGTCATAGTCGCTTATCCAATGTTTATATTATCGACTTCCCCCCCATACTAGGCTGGGGAAGCGGTAGTATAGACTGACGCTTAGTATACCGTAGTACAAAATACCATGCAGTAAAACATACCGTATTCATCAATTTTGATGAACACGTTTTCTCGTGCCGAATATGACGACAGAATCTTACTTGAAATAGAATGATCGGATTGTCTGGTCATTATAGTTCATCTTTCGTTTCAGCATCTTGTCAAAATGCTAGGCCAAAAACGAGAAACAGGCAAGAAGGGTTTTGACTAACAAGCATAGGGATACATATATGCAAACCCTAGAAGGGCTGTACTCGCTATAGAGTACCCCACTGCAGGCTAGACAACCATCACATTCTGACACACCCCCATAGTCAAAGTGGGGTACAATCAACATAACAAGCAGACAGAGCAATAGTTCACAATTATAAGCAAAGCTAGAGGCTATCACAGAGGGCAAGTGAGGAGGAGGAGAAACTGTGGGAGCAAGAAGATGAGAGGCGACGGCTGAAGCTGCAGACACACAGGCAGCAGGAGTACGCCGCACTGACGCTACCAGGCTAAACCCGGACTACACGGCGACAGGGGGTCGCAGCTGGCTCGCTGTGCTCCCAGGAGTGCACACACTGTAGCTACCGGGCGCAGAGCCCCGGACTACTCAGGCCACAGGGGGTCGTGGCTCCCTGGACTTCAGGCGCTGCGGACGACAAGTCGACGGCCTCCTCTCAACTTCCCCCAGCTGTCCCACCCCCTTTTTACACACCCCCTGCTGTTCCCCTAGCACCGCTCACACTACACCCCCTAGCGCCACTCCCTCGGCTCCCACACACCCTGTTAGAGGTCCACTGGTGATCCCCGTTGATCCTAGGGAAGGGTTACAGGCACGTTGGCCTGGGGGGTTATGGGCGCACTCACCCGCCACACAAACAAGCCCTTTTATCCCAGTGGTTAGTGGCTGGGATTCTGACATGGTATCAGAGCGAAGGTCTCGGGTTCGAATCCCAGTGTGTGCACTTCGGGCATCCCAGTGCGGGGGGGTGTTAGAGGTCCACTGGTGATCCCCGTTGATCCTAGGGAAGGGTTACAGGCACGTTGGCCTGGGGGGTTATGGGCGCACTCACCCGCCACACAAACAAGCCCTTTTATCCCAGTGGTTAGTGGCTGGGATTCTGACACACCCACCCCCCTCAGCGGCAGCTGCAGCAGTGGGAGACGGAGAAGGAGGAGGAGGAGGGGAACGGCACTCAGTGGCTTCACCCCCATGCCCGTCACCCCCAAACCCTAATTCAGGAGAACGGGCTGTAGGAGGGGTGGGGCGCCAGTAGAAGCACGGGGGACAGTGGGGAGGGCAGGGGCAGCGAGGAACGGGCCGCCCACGGGCCTGGCATAGCCGCCCGAACCGCGCGCAGGCGGCCCGAGCCGCGCGCGGGCCTGGCGCTTCCCGTACGGGCCGCGCGCGGGCCTGGCGCAGCCCGTACGGGCCGCGCGCCGGCTGTACGGGCCGCGCGCAGGCCACGACGGGCGACGGGGGGCGACGCGCGGGTCCCCGTCGCCCGTCGCAGCGCCTCCCGGGGGCGACGCGCCGAGTGACGGGGCAGAAAACCGCCGCGCGCCCCGGGCGCGCGGCGGGAAGAAAAAATCGCTGCGCGCCCGGAGCGCGCGGCAGGCAGGAAACAGCAGGAAACAACAGCGGAAGCTTCTGGTGGGACCACCCACAGGATCGACCCAGGAGGGTCGACCCGCTCTGATAGCATGTCAAAATGCTAGGCCAAAACGAGAAACAGGCAAGAAGGGTTTTGACTAACAAGCATAGGGATACATATATGCAAACCCTAGAAGGGCTGTACTCGCTATAGAGTACCCCACTGCAGGCTAGACAACCATCACATTCTGACACATCTGGTAGACTGGCACTGAATAAAACAATATTAGAATAAGTCACCAATAAAGTATCCATAAATATGTAATTCAACCCTGCTTATATAGGATTTTTTTCTGGATAATAAAAAAATCCGTGAAAAAAAAGAGTAGGACCTGTCGATTGCAATAGGTTGCTCCGCAACCCAAAAAGAAACAAGACAAAAGAATGATGAAATTTTATGCCAAGCAGGTTCAACGTGAAGTGACTGGAACAGGCACGTACATAGGATTTTACAATAACCTGCCGCGTACTCCTACCCACCTACATACTATTACATAAGACACATCCTAGTCTTCTAGATTAACATCACTGCCATATCCCCCACTAATCTCGCTTCCATACTCGTAGTTCTGATATCCATCCACCGCCCAAGGAACCACAGCTTCTAATAACCTATCTCCAATGCTTACATACTCCTGCACACGTGGCCGCTCCCCCCAAACCCTAATCTGCGGTGGCGGAGCCTTCTCAATCACATCGGGAAAGCCGGTGCCGCATCGCAACCGCGTCCTTCCCCGCCCGCGGAAAAGGACAAACGCAGCCACGCCGACTGTAGCAGTGGCAATCATCCGCCAGAACCCCGAAACCGGCGGGGGAACGCCGCGGTGGCGCGGACACCGCTGTCGCGCACGCGGAGACGACTGCCGCGGGCTCGGCGGAAATTGTTGATGACACTGGGGAAGGTTGCGGAATGAAGGCTGGTCGTCAAAATCCGTATCTGACGTGGAAAGAGGATAAGACAAGGCGTCAGCAAATTGCTCATACTGAGGAGATTCTTGTCGGTCCCTCTCAGCCTCGGATGGTCGCGAGGATGAGGCAGGCTCGGGTATGGACTCCACGGCGACTGGTTCGGAACCAACAAGGTTAGGTCCTAACAGTTGTACGGACTGGTCAAGCTCAAAATTTGGACGGTCGCGCTGAGTTTCAGAAACTTCCCCTGACGGCACAGGCTCGGAAGTGACACTATCGGAGTCCAACGGTGCAGCCAATTGGTCCTCGCCTACGCCGTCCGCATTCCGCCTCCCCAGCTCTTCGTCACAACTAACTCTACTGTTCGCGTGGCAGTTCGCACAATTCGCTGAAGAAGCGGCGGCGCAGCCAGCTGCATTGGATGGTACACCAGAGTGGACGATCCGACTGTCTCTCCCACAACACGCGGAATAAGGCTGCCTATCAGTCAAAACGGTTGTGTCGTAACGCATGGAATCGAGCTCCGCGATGGATCCGACGCCAGGTTCTCGGAGTGCGGGAGCCATGGCTGGACTTCGGCTATCTAGACTAGACGTTGATGTTCTTATGTGATGCTTCGCTGCAGTTCTCAAGTGTGATAGGTCTGGTCTGGTATTCCCAACCGCAGCCGTGAGTATCAGCAACAGCACGCACCAGAGATCGGCTTGTTGGTGGGGTGGCGTGGGAGCGACGGGGAAAAGCTGCATCCGTCTTCCGCCATTCCCTGTGAACGCGGAAAGCGTTGCGGATGACAGATCCCCCTGCAGCTTCCGCAGAGCTCAGACCTGGCGCAGGGCAGGGGTGTGTGCTGCGCGTCAGGATGGAGGGAAAGCATCAGATACAAGTGCGCCATGTTGAAGAACAGTAACAAGAGATGTGGGGAAGATACACCTTTACAAAGCTACGTAACAGCTTACAAAACAAGAGATACGCCGAAAGCAATTTACAACTTAGTAGCTGCGCAAATGATATAGATTTGCATACTAGCAGTTTATCTGTTATTATAATCCCTTATATATGGTAACCCTCACTTAATGCAGACTCTGCAGTAATATGATTACAATCATGTATCTTTACTTGCAGAAGATGTCTAATAGGATGTCACGCTTCAGAACATGTCTACAGTTGATGGTCGTGAAAGCGGTTTGCTTCCAGCGGAGCTCTCTGTATTTTCCTTCGACTTTAGGTCCACATTGCCACGCAATCCCAGCATTCAACCCCGCAACCCCTCTTCGCCACATCAACAGAAGTGGTTACTGACACGTCGGCTTCGAGGTGGTCAGGTGCTGCCAGAATTGCGCCTCTTATCGCACGCGACGCTGACGTGTAAGATCGGTAAAGTGCTTTGCGCGGAGGCATCCAATGACAGGACGACCTCCATCGCCCTCTGTTCCGTCCCGTCATGAAGTTTGAATGTGCTGTGCGCATCTGGGGGGGATTCTGTGCCGCAGGGTTCTCCCCCCTCCCCAACCTCCCTCAGCTACAATCACTGCAGCATTCCACATTTGCTGCCGCACAACCATTTTCTATGGGGCAAAAGCCTTGGGAACTCCAGGACATTATTCCCCCTCAGGACTTCAAACTGTGCTCTGATCAAGCTTACCATTTGGTTTCTAGAGCAAGTGCTTTGTTCTGCGTTACGCTCGCAGCTTGAGGATATTGGGTGAATCTCCTTTTTAGACGAGCTTTTTGGTTCCTTGTTCCCCTCTAAACAGCCTTTTCCACAGTTTTCACAAAAAATAATAATAATAATAAAAATGTCATCCACAGTCCTTTCACTTACCAGACCAGCAGCTGCACATGGCCATCGCCTCTTTCCGCCGCGTGACTCAAGTTTCCGAAATTCGTCTTCTAATTCCGTATCAGCCGTCGTTTCGCCATCTCGTGCGCCACCATCCGCTTCCCGCTTCGCGCATCTTCGCTCCAGCGAATCCCAAGCTCGGTCCGTCACACTCGCAGGAGCAAGAATCTCTTCATTGCACTCGCATCGTCGGTACCGGCTTCGTGCGCTGCCGGGAGGCTCGGAGTCGACAACAACTGTAGCGGAGGAGAAGGAGAATGGCGTTGGGGTTAGAGCTTCCGAGGACCAGCAACGACCGAGCACTGACTCTGACCAATCAGGCTCTCCTAAAGCAGATGCTTCTCCATCTCCCCCGCCTCCTCCTTCCAGTATGAAGAGTCTCGACGCGTACTTTGAAAAGCTGAATGGTTCTTCCAGCAGCTGCAGCGCAGAGAAGCAAATACCAGAGCAACAAACAGCGGAAGCCGTGGCTGCACCTGCAGCTGCTGCAGCATCATCAGCATCAGCAGAGCCTGCTGCATCGCCTGCCGCCAGCGCGACTTCGTCAACGTCTACCGCCGCCGCTGATACGAGCAGTTCGACGGAGAAGAAGAAAGTGACCAAGGACTTTCAAGCACTGAGCTCCTTAAATTCGTACTTCGACAAGCTCAACGCTGGTAAAGGTACGCTTTCTTTCTCTTCCCCACCTCGCCCTTAGCCGCAGCGCCTCGTACATTCATTTGTTTGCTGGCCTTTTACGCGTCTCGCTGCGTTTGGCAGACTTCGTGCGCCGTTTTGCGGTGATTCTCCGCAAAACGAAACACCGCATCCACCCGCCTCTTCCTTATTCCGTTCCGCAGAGAAGAAGTCGGACGCTGATTCCAGCGCAGCACCAGCCGCCTCGCAAGCATCCACAGCCCCCACATCTTCAACAGCGCTGGCTGACGTCAGCAGCAAGCCCGCGGAGGCAGAGAAAACGGAGAAGGCAGGGAAGGCGGAGGAGAGCAGCGGAAGCAAGGATCTGAAGGCGGAGGAGGTGGAGGAGCTTATCAGGCGGATTGTGGAGGACGTGGAGAAGAAGAAGGGCAGTGGCGCGCTTGACAGTGAGTTATCTCAACACTCGACATTGATTCGCCCCCCGTGATGCTTCCCTGGCGATCATGCTTTGCTTATCCTTATGCGTTACTGTCGTTAGTGACCAACTTCGGAACACTAGATGGTGCGACTAAGTTGGTGCTGTCGAGGATTGTAGCACAACAAATGCGGAAAATAGAAGCACGAAGGACCACCCCCTTCAGAAAAGCGCGAATAGAACATGATCTTTGACCGTGGCAAAGAGCAGTCTTTTCTAGTCTTCCACGCCTCTGTTAAACACTCGCGTCTGTATGTCTCCCTCTTCGTTTCCTCAACTGTCCGTCCTTCTTCTGTGCTCTGCACCACGCTGCACCCCTGCCGTTTTTCCGTTCAGCCAAGGTGTCGGACCTGACTCTGGATGCCATCATGGGTCCGCGCAACCTGCTGGACGACTGGATCTCCGCCAGAGCGGCCGTCAGCGCTCCCACCGCCGTGTAAGTGGCTTTCTTAATTTAGGCGCCTCAAGAATGAACGTGGCTCTGGAAGACACCATGAGCCCACTCAACCTGCTGGACGACTGGGGTTCTGCCCGAGCGACCATCACGGCCGTTGATAAGATTTCCGTGAGAGTTTGCCCCGTGGAGTGCGAGTGTGTGTGAGGGCCGTCCGGTGAGCGAATTTCAGTGGCATGAGAGTGAATGGGAAGGATGAATGGCGTTTGAGTGAGGGAGTGCCCAGAGAGGTGTGTGAGTCGTTCGTGAGTGAGTGGGAGCACGCTGCCTGCTGAGTGGTGCTAGTAATCATGCGGAAGGCAGCACTTCACGGTAAGCAAGCAACATGGTTGTCGACTCCAGGCTTTTCACCCCACACCAGGGCGTTTGCTCCTTTCCGTTCATGAGACCTCGTACAGCGTGGTGTTCCACAACTCAAGCAGTCGTCCCTTTTAAGTGACGCTTTCATTTCTGGGGCCTCGCTCGTTCCTCCTCTAACTCTACCACCCTCCCGCCTCCCTCTCACGCTCCCCCACGCCCCTCTTCATCTCCCCCCACCCCCCGAAATCCTCTATCACCCACGCCCTGGCGGCCATCCGTTCCTCTCAGAGATCGTCACTTCCTTCTCTACCAGTCTGCCTGCCATGCCATCACTCTCATACCCTTTCCCTTCCCTCCTCCCTGTCACTTCCATGATCCATTATCATTGCTGTGCTCCCCGTGGAGCTCGCCACTCCCATTGCTACCTTCTTCCTTCGCTCACTCTCATTCCTGCCCATTTCCCCTGTCCACTTCCCTCCCCCCTCCCCCACCCGTTTTCCTACATTGCCTATAAGCTACACGCTAGTGGCGATCAACATTGCAGTGTTTCTCTTTGAGCTCGCCGGTCCCATTCCTACTTCCTGCCTTCCAGTCCATCACGCTTGTTTCCTCCCCTTTTCACCCTTTCCCCGCCACGCACCCTGTCCTCTTCCTTCAACGCCATCAGCTACACGCTAGTGGCAATCAACATCGCCGTGTTCCTGTTTGAGCTCGCCAGTCCCGAGGCGGTGCCAGGAGTGATCACCACGTCGCTGCCAGCGCTGCTGGCCGCCAAGGTCAACCCGCTCATCGAGGCCGGCGAGTGGTGGCGCCTCCTCACGCCCTCCCTCCTCGTACGTCCACCCCCCCACCCACCACGTTCCCCTCCTTCCTGCTCCCAGCTTCTGATGGCGTATTGTGCTCTTTTGCTCCCTTAGCCATCCTTACCAACACCTTCCAATCTCTGCCATTCCCTTGATCAGTTTTTCTGCAGTTCTTTCTAGCCTCTATCCTTATCCGACCCAGGCTGTACCCACACCCAGCCTCCATTCCCAGATCCTAACCCCCCCATTCCCAGCATGCAGGCAGGCATCATCCATCTCTCAATGGGCACGTTTAAACTGCCTGCCATTGGCAGTGTGTGCTGTACTCTGAACCCATCACCATCATCACCACCATCATTGCTTACCTCACTTCCCCCCTCCATACACCTCCCTCTCGCCCAATCATTGACAGCATGCGGGCATCATCCATCTGTCAGTGGGCACGACTTTCCTGGGCAGTTCTCTGAGCCTCACTTTCCCCCTCCATACACCTCACCTCCCCCCCTCTACTACCCTCCTTTCCATCCCACTGACAGCATGCGGGCATCATCCATCTGTCAGTGGGCACCTTCTTCCTGCTGGGCATCGGCAGTGTGCTGGAGTTCGCCATCGGCCCGCTGGGTCTGCTCGCAGTGTACCTCTCCTCCGGCCTCGCAGGCAACATCGTTTCCTTCCTGCAGACGCCCGATGTCACCGTTGGCGGCACGGTAAGGGTTTCATTTGGCACCGTTCTCTCCCTCACTTACGCTTGCCCCCTGTTCCACCTGCGTATCCACCCACTGCAACTCAACCATTCTACAGCGTTTGAGAGTTCACGTCCATAACCCTGCACTCACTGCGACTTCCATACCTCTTTCTCACACTACTCTATGCCCATGTGCTTCACCCTGGGGGACACATCACTCAGGGTCCGGTGTACGGGATGGCAGCGGCGTATGCAGCGTTTCTGATAAAGAACCGGGAGGTGATCGGCACGGAGACGGCGGACAGCAATGTGCGCGAGTCGCTCATCATCGCTGCACTCTTTGCCCTCTTCGCCAACCCCCTGCCCATTGACCCCTCGTGAGTGCCCTGCTTGGTTGGCCCCTTGTGAGTGACACTCGCCCCTTATGAATGATAAGGGAGATCGTATCATCTCTTTTTGTTAGGGGGGCGTTGGCAAGCGACAGGCCTACACTTTGCCTCGTGTAACATTTTTCTCTTTTGGAAGAAGAATATCCATGCCAGTCGCTCTCGCTCTGCTGAAGGGAAAGGATGGGCTCCCTAAGGGGGGCTCGTCCCACAGGTTAGCACTGCTGCACAGGCTATGCTGCCCCTGTACCCAACTCATATAGATGGTTGTGCCTGTCACTTCGTCACCATTGGCCTGCCTATCCACATGGCACCTGTGACCACCAGCTCTCTGTTCTGCTTTATTCTTACCTGCCCTTTGTGTCAAGCTTCGCTTCCCATACACATGCTTGCTTACATGAATGGGTACACAAGGTCTTACTGTCCGCTCTCCCCTCGCCCCTATCTTACCCTGACAGCACACACGCTGGAGCAGCATTAGCAGGCTATCTTTTCGGTAGCATTGCAGCTCCATCCATGCGCAAAGTGAAGATATCCAATGAGGAGGCAGCCAAGCGGCAACAAGGGCTGCTCAACTCTCTTCTCAGCCAGCGGACAAATGAGGAGTCATATGAGCTGGTGGTAGAACCAGCTGACTCCAAGAAGCTGGCTGCTGCTTTTGGGGCATCGATGGCACTTTCACTGGCGCTGTTTCAGTTGTCGCAAGGAATTCCGTTGGATGCTGATTTGTTGCAGTCATTGCCCCCTGCAGACGGCGATGTCTGGTTGTGAAATATTTTGTGGATGTTTATGAAAATAGGATTTTGAAAATATTGTGCGGAATGAAATGATGAGGATTTCGTTTCTAGTGCTATCATTATCGGCCCATGTATAGATAGCGACGCGAGTGTCTCAATTAAATGGTCATTAGTCTGTCTTGCGTGTGACACAAGCGCTACTCGCAGCAGGATCTGCGACGTGTCTCCCTTTTATTCCACGACGAGTCACGTGGAAATGATGGCGAATAGGCCCGACTTGTTTGCTTTTCCACCTCTAAGCGGGAAACACGCTGTTTTTGACGAATGGTGTCGCGAGAATCCCTGAAGTCTGGGTGGGCAGGTATTCCTTCCTCCTGCCCCTTCAGCCCATCATCTGTCCAGGTCATGGTGATTCCATCCGAAGGAGAATCTATTTCAACATGACCAGACCAGATACAGGCGTTGTACTCCTCTGAACCTGCCCCATGAAAATGGATCTTTTGTTCAAATCGAAAATGCCCAAAATGGGCCTTTTTTTTCATTTTCTGGTTCAGGCCTCGCCAGGTGCCCAAAATGCTAATGCCCAAAATGGGCCTTTTTTCATTTTCTGGTTCAGGCCTCGCCAGGTGCCCAAAATGCTGGTTGCGCTCGAATCGAACTTGCCCGAACCGAACCGGAATAATCTTGTTGCTTCGGGCAGTCTTGGTTAGCGAGGGGAAAGCGGCTGAACCGACGTTTCTGGCACTTCTGGTTCGGCCGAAGCTATCGGGCCCGAAGCACCTACAGGCTTGGTAGGGTTTGGCTTCTGCCTGCTTGGCATCCGCTGTGCCTCCTTGCGTTGCATCCCTTCCTTCCCCCCCACCTCATCTTGTCTGATCCTGCCTCTCACACCGTTCAATGCTCATATGCTGCTGGCTCTGACAGTTGCTCCAACCTCCAGTCTTCCAGCATTCTCTGTCATTTCATTTTCAAATCTTCAGCCTCATTTTGGCACGAGGAGCCACTCTCTAGTTTTGTACTTGGCATTGCTCCGTTTGCTCGCCATGGCGACAGTGACTTCTCAGCAGCTTTGCAGTTTAGCAGGTATAAGTTTCAGTTGCAACGTCCGCTCGAACGAGTCAACATCGTTCAGCAGAGCTCTATTTCCTGCTAGGCTCCCTAAAAGCAACGCCAGGTTGAGCTCATCATGGAACGAGGCGGAGCGACGAAGGCATGTGCCTGTACAGTCCGCCATGGAGGCCATGGAAGAGGCGACTTTCACGCCTCGTTACAAGTCGTGGGAAGCTCAGAGCTTCTTAAAGGAGAATTTCCCTCGCATGCCGCAGGTTCCCTCGCGGCCACTTGTACCTAGCGACAGGGCTGATGATTTGTCGCTGCGCAACCCGTTGAGAAGACTGGAGCGCATGGGATGCGGATGGCTGGCCGTCCTGTTGGAGTGGGAGGGGGTGGTTATCGAAGACGATTCTGTTTTTGAACGCCAGGCGTGGATAGCTCTTGCGGAAGAGGAAGGGCGACCGCAGCCTCCCGTTTGGGTTCTTAAGAGGGCAGAAGGCATGAAGAACGAGCAGGTTATTCGCGAGGTGCTCTGCTGGTCGCGCGACTTTATGACTGTACGGAGATTGTCGCAGAGAAAAGAAGAGCTGTATGAACAGTTTCAGGGAGGTTGCTACAGGCTTCTTCCCGGCTCCAGAGAATTTCTGGAAACTTTGAAGCGGTGCAAGATCCCCGTGGCGATTGTGTCGACTCGTCCGGCGAGATACTTGGAGCGAGCTGTTGAAGCTGTAGGCATGGAAGGTTTCTTCGATGCTGTCATTTCTGCGGATGACGTGCAGAGAGGAAAGCCAGATCCTGAGATGTACCAGGTGGGTCTTGCAACTTCATGAAGTGTTGCTGGTATTTTTTCTGTTGTCAATTTCGGATAATGCTGGCAGCGTTTTTGGCGACCCGAGAACTTATCATGTTTTTGTGCCACAATGTTTTCCGTTGCAGTATGCGGCACAGCGACTGCAGTTTATTCCCGAGCGTTGCATCGTCATCGGGAGCTCCAACTCCACCATAGAAGCGGCCCACGATGCGTACATGAAGGTGCATACTTTTTTCCCTTCAATTCCCCGCTTTCCGCAACTGTACTATGCTATGCCAGTTTTCTGATGCATCCTTGTTTATTCTCCGCACAGGTTGTTACCGTTGCAGGAAGGCACCCAGTGTATGAGCTGGGTGCTGCGGATCTGGTGGTTCGCAAGCTGGACATGCTATCCGTGGTCGACCTCAAGAACCTGGCAGATCTAGATTCGCCGGAATTCACTCCGCCGCCTGAGCTAGAGCCGGAATTAGAGCCGGAAACCAAGAGAACTGGCGTTGGCACCCTGTGAAGATGGAACGTCTTAAAATTCGTTTGTTCATGTCGTACATTTGTTATCATGTCATGCCATTGGCTGGATGCACCAGCTTGAATTGTACATAGTTTTACAAGTTAGGGTTGTCCTTTTGTCCACACTCTTTTTCAGTGACATGACGTGCTTGTCCTGCTTGCCTTGGTTATCGAAGTAGTTCCTGGAATACTGGAAATACATGTGGTATGTTTCCATTGAATAAATGTGGGCATGCACGTGCAATCATCACCACACTGCCCTCCTAGCTGTGGAGCCCTGAAGGAACGAGTGTGTATGCCATCCCTTGTCTTTCAAACCCCTGAGCATGTGAGGCAGCAGCTGCTCCATCTCACCATATCCCTCCCACACACTCCCCTCCCAGTCACCCCATCCAGCACCATCAGTGCTGCTCTTTCCAGCTACCGGTACCTGTGCCTTTCTGCTGATTGCCTGGCTGATGCATGACGCTAGCAGCCATGCTCTGATTGCATCCTGACCGTCTGCTGTCTTGTGCAGGATCAGATGCATCTTCCGAGGCACCCCACCTGCCATGTCCTGTTCCGGGCAGCTCAAAAGAAACTTCTCATTGGAGAACAGTTTTTTCAGCTTGGCCAGGTTGCTTGGGGATCCCAGGGCTTCTGAAAGAGGAGCGCCCACACACAACCTGCTGCTGCTGCTGCTCACGCTCTTGCTGCTGCCATTGCTGGTGGTGGTGGCAGTGGTGGTGCTGATAGTGGTGGCACTGGCAGTGCTGCTGCTCCTACCACTGTTGGTCTTATTGCCATGCGGTGCAGGCGTGAGGGCGAGGCGGTGGGCAGCAGGGAGAGTGAGCGGCGGCTCGGGCTTCACAATGTTCTCCCTCCACCGCATGTCCGCTGGGCTCAGTAGCTCACCGCTCTGACGCACACCATGGGAAGTGTAATGGGAAGGCATTTTCTTTAGTGGATATGGGTCATGGGTGTAAGTGCAGGTTACGGAATGAACAGGGTGTTGAACAAGTGCACTGAGAAGCGACTCACGGAGAGGAAGTGGTTGATGAGCACGTTGGTGCGCTGGGCGTTGAGAGTGTTGATAGGTACGGCCCTCATCTCCTCTGTCACGGACCACAGATGCACCGCCGCCAGCACTGGCACCGCTGCCAGCTGCAGAGACGAGGCTCGGTGGGGCATGGTGAGACGAGGTGATAGAGAGATGGGATAAAGAAGGAGAGATATTAGCTGCACAGCTAGGAAAATAAATATTACCAGTAGAGGCGGGAATTGGAGGAACTGTAGCTTGGCGTATGGTGTCTGGCAGACGGAGGAGGCGAGTTTGAGGCAGAGAGCAAGGCCGGTGAGGGAGGAGAAGGCACGGACTCGTTAGTTACCTTAGCTTGGGCTGTCTGGCAGACAGAGGAGGCGAGTTTGAGGCCGAGGGCAAGGCCAGCGAGGGAGGAGAAGGCACGGACTCGTTAGTTACCTTAGCTTGGGCTGTCTGGCAGACAGAGGAGGCGAGTTTGAGGCCGAGGGCAAGGCCAGCGAGGGAGGAGAGGACGCTGATGGCCTCTCCCTTTGCGTACAGGTCGCTGATGTTGCCCTCCTTTGCGAATGCATCGTACAGCGGCAGGCGAGTGGCGCGAGCTATCACCAGTGAGAGGCCCTGTGGTGGGGAGGAAAGTGGATGGGGAGAGGGGAAAGGGGGAGAGGACGCTGATGGCCTCGCCCTTTGCGTACAGGTCGCTGATGTTGCCCTCCTTTGCAAACACATCATACAGAGGCAGGCGCGTGGCACGGGCTATCACCAGTGACAGGCCCTGTGGTGGGGAGAGTGGGTGGGTGGGGAGCAGTGCTGCATGAGGGGGGAGAGAGAGGCACTCGAGAAAGGCAGGAGCAGCAACGCACACATGAATAGCATCTCAGAGCGCATTGAATGCACCAACACATGGCCTCACGCTCACCTTCCCTGCATTGGCCAGGCCAGTGAGCAGCAGGAAGCAGTGCGGCATGAGCAGGGAGTGGCACTCGAGGAAAGCCCCCACGTCACACAACGTCAGCGGCCACGCACCAGCGCTTGGGATCGGCAGCCATGCTGCGACTGAGACGACTGGCGGCGATCTTGCTGGGGTTTTTTCCCAGAAGCCTCAAGATTATTTTAGGAGCCTCAAAACTGCATCAACACACGGCCCCAAGCTCACCTTCCCCGCGTTGGCAAGGCCAGCGAGCAGCAGGAAGCGGTGCGGCATGAGGGGCGAGAGGCACTCGAGGAAAGCCCCCACGTCACAGACAACGTCAGCAGCAACGCGCCAGCGCTTGGGGTCAGCGTCCATGCTGCGCCCGAGACGACTGGCGGCGATCTTGCTGGCATGCTGCATGCCGTCCTTCACCACCCAGCTCACTATCGTGGCCTGTGCTGGCGTGGGACGCAACCCGGCCGCAAATAAGAGTGACTGGTGTGTGGGAGGGAGAAAAGACGGGAGAGAGAGGGAGGTTTGGTTTTGCTCCCAGTGCTGGCATGCTGCATGCCGTCCGTCCTTCGCCACCCAGCTCACTATCGTGGCCTGTGCTGGCGTGGGACGCAGGCCTGCCGCAAAGAGGAGCGACTGGTGGGGGGGGGGGGGGGAGAAGGAGTGTGGAAGGTTGGGCAGTTGAAGGAGGGGTGAATGTGATGCTGGAGCCTGGGAGTGGTGCAGTGTGAGAGTAGGAGAGTATGGGAGTCATGGAGGGATGTGTTGCCATGTACACAAAAGTACTCAATATAAGAGTCTGCTGCTTACCTGTGTGGAGAGCACGTTGAGAGCCGCCACAGCAATGTGCTGAATGCCCCGGTACTGCGAGAACAGCATGTAGCCCTCCGCCACGCTGCAGAGGAAAACAGGGGAAACGGCGCGGAAGTGGGGAGAGTGGGGGGTGGAGGGGTGCTGGGTGAACGCCTTTGTCCATGAGAAATCACGAAGGTGAATGCCCGTACCTATTAGGTTAGCCCCATCTATCCAGATGACCCCATCCGTCGAGATGGCATAGCGTACCTATCAGGGTAGCCCTACCTGTCAGGGTATCCCATGGGGAAGAACTTGTCCTTGAAGGCTGCTATGAAGCGATCAGGGATGGAGCATGTGCTATGGGTGGTGGGTACCATGTACCTCACCTGCAGAGTCCCAGCTATCCAGACACACCTACCTGTCAGGGTACCCCATGGGGAAGAACTTGTCCTTGAAGGCTGCTATGAGGCGATCGGGGATGGAGCATGTGCTATGGGTGGTGGGTACCATGTACCTCACCTGCAGAGTCCCAGCTATCCAGACACACCTACCTGTCAGGGTACCCCATGGGGAAGAACTTGTCCTTGAAGGCTGCTATGAGGCGATCGGGGATGGAGCGCGTGTCCGGTACTATGTGGCCCTGCCATGCGACATGTGCCATGTCATGCCATGCCATGCCAAGCGATGAAATGTAGTGCAATGCAATGCCATGCACCCATGCCGTGCCATGCCATGACAGGTCGCATGCCATGACAGGTCGCATGGAATGGGGTGAAAGGAAGAATAGGTTGGGTGAATTTGTGCATGGTGGAATAACAAGTGAGGGGGACTGAAGGGCAAAACAATGCATGTAGGGATTACCTAATGAAAAGGAGGGGGAAGGATGGGGAGGGGAGGGGGAGAGGGGGAAGGGAAGCAAACAGCTTGCATGGCTAAAGCCTCACTAACCCCTCAAGCCTTCTCCCCAACCCACACTCTCTCTATCCCCTCTCAATACCCTCCGTTTCCATTCCCTCCTTATAAGAACACTAACCTCAATTAAGCCGCCGCCGCCCCCCACAAGCTGGTACTCGCGCTTCTGCCCGTGATTGGACACTTCCACCCACATGGCCCGACACGCGCCTTCCACCTGCTTCCCCACTCCCGCCACGTGGCGACCTGCCGCAGCCAGAGCGTTTTCTCTGTGGCCGCTCCCCCCTCCAGCCATTCTGACAAAATGCAGCTTGTGCGATACGGAAAAAAAAAAAAGACAACTGAGGTAATGCGCACTGGTCCTGGTCAGAGGCAGTTTCCGTACTGATTTCAGGGAACAAAAGGTGGACGGTGGAGCAATGGCGTAATGCGCGATCGTTCACTGACTTAGAGCCGCAATGTGCGGAGGGGAGGCATGGAAAAAAGGTGAAAAAAACGAATTGGTGAGGATGTTGGATTTGTTGTCAGCAATGCTGCATTTCTGGTCAAAAGTGCAGCTAGCAGCATATGAATTGAAATGGTGGGACTCGGTGGAGTGGGGTGGGAGAAGGATGGATGGGATGGGATGGGAATGATGGGGGATTGGAAGACATTGGCCTCTGGCAACACCAAGAGGCGTGCATGAAAGGGCCAGTGACAGTAACGTTTGTTTTTTTTTGCCCGCGGGCAGCGAGCTCCCCCGGGCGGACTCGCTTGTCCGCTGAGATATACCATGCTGGCAACACCAAGAGGCGTGCATGAAAGGGCCAGTGGCAGTGGGTGGGCTAGGCGACGCTGGCGAATGGAGAAACGAGAACATGTTCGTTGCGTAACCAGCTCTTCGCATATTTCTCAAAGCAAAATCTACCCCAATAAGAATATATGGAATTGCGGTGTATTATCAGAAAACCGTTCGGGCTTTCCCGCCAAAAGTTGCATGCATTTCTGGACGTTGGGATTCCCATTTCACCCCAAAGTGCGTCTCGACTTTCGCCCTTTCACCCACTTTCACATATACACATGTCCACATTTCTGCTATCCTGCAATTCATGTTCCTGGTAAAGCAGGTTCCTACTTCACTTCGGCGTCTCTCGTTGTGGCACCCGAACGGTGCAGACAGTGAGACTTATTTTCAATTGTAGGCTCAAGAGGTCTTCAATCATCGATAGACATTGTCTGTTAATCCATACCGTACACTCTGGCAGATTGGTTGCTGGTGACGCGAGACGACCGGCTCCCACGTCGATGTAACGCCAGGTTGATTGTAAGCCAAGGTTCCGCATTGCGCCTAAGCACCGCCTCGCGGAGAGTGCTAGCAACGGTGCTGGTAACGCTCGTATGTTTTAGAAGTGTCGTGCATTAACGACAGCGAGACGAGATGGACGCGAGGGAAGTTGCGGAGCAGCTTCGTTCGAATTTCCCCTGCCGGAAGCGACAGGTCAGTAGGCCGATCCTCTAATCTGTCGTCAGGTCCTCGGAGTGCGATCTGCAACGGTAGATTTGTTTCGTGCATTTCCTGGCGCGTTTGTTAGTCCGATTCCTATTATTATCCCTCCAGGATACTTCCTGATTTTTGAATTTATCTCGCCTTTTCTCCCACCCCCTTTTTTCAACGACCACAACGATCTCGCATGCCACGTGGCAGATCGAGGATATTCTCCTGCACGTTGGAGGACCGTTCGATCGCATGCCGCCTCTCTTCCTCTGTGGGCCATCAGGCACCGGCAAAACCGCCGTAATTCGCGCGGCGCTTGCTCGGATGCGCCGTCCCCACGTGTACCTCCCCCTCACCTCCGCCTGCCCCCCCAATCCGTCTACCACGCGGTTCTGACTCAGCTGGCCCAGCAACAGCATCAAGAGGAGCAGCAAAGGGAGCAGCAAGGGGAGCAGCCCAGTGAACGCACAAGCGTGTTGCTTGCAAGGCCCGCTTCCTTCCCCTCCACCATCCCCAACCGAGCTGCATTCTTGAGGTCGCTGCTGTGGGTGCTGTCAGGGGATGCGACGGAGGGAGAAGGGGAAGAGGCGGAAGCGGAAGCTCGTGACGATGAAAGCGAGGAAGAGGATCTAGATGAGCGGGGAGGGAGAGAAGGGGAAGAGGCTGATCAGGAAGGAGAGGAGAGAAGGAAGAGACGCAAGGGCGCATATAATGAGGTGTTTGTGGGAGGTGATGGGAAGAAGAGAGGAGAGGGCGTGATCACATGGGAAGGGAACGACGAGAGGCGGATCACTCGAGGGATGCTCCGAAGCAGACTCGCTGCGACCCCTGTTTCTGCCAACCCTATGACTGCTACAACTGGGGCAGCGCACCAAGAAACAGACTGTGACAAGGATCGGAGGGGGGAAGAGCAGAGCCCTGAAGGGCACGATGAGGCAGCAGGGGAGCGTGCGTCGCAGAATGAGGGGACCGCGCTGCCAAACAAGCGGGGAGCGTTGCAGCCACCAGCGTCGCCCCGCCATGCGAAGCGGCCCACGGTGCACACGCAGGCAGAGGCGGGTGGTGCGAGGGGAGAGCGGGAGAGTGGGGGAGCGAGTGGGCTGTGGTTTGTGATGAATGGCGGTGGGCAGGCTGGGGCTGTGGGGCCCCCGGATGAGATGGAGGAGGGGGAAGTGAGGAGTGAGGACGGAGAGGAGGCGGGATCCGAGATTGAGGGAGAGGAAAGAGGAGCACAGATGGATGGGCAGGAGGGCGGGGGTGAAGAGATGGAGAACGCGGGGTACGAAGAGGATGACGATGTGATTGAGGTGGGTCCTATTGCGGGAAGGACTCAGCCGTTAAAGCAGCAGCAGGTGGAGCAGATGGAGCAGCAGATGCCACAGAACGTGCAGGTGCTGGAGCAAAGGCCTGGCAGCAGAGAGGAGCACAAGGGTCTAGGAGGACCAGGAGGAGGAGGAGGCCCCGCCCACCCAAGTGCGCGGCGCTCCTTGGCTGCCGCATTTGCAGGTGCAGAGGGCACTGAAGTGGCAGTCGGAAGAAAGCAGGCTGCCTTAGAGAGGGGGACAGCTGACACGGGTCTGCAGTGCAGCCCTCTTGCTGTGTCCGATAAGGAGCCTCAAGCTTGCTTGGTACCTGCTACAGTGTACCTCGTTATAGACAACCTGGAGCAGCTCAAAGCCTTCCCTGCAGGGGAAGGCCCGCAGCTGCTGGAAACTTTCCTCCGCCTGCCCGAACTGTTGGGGCAGTCCAACTTAGGGCTAATCCTAGTGAGCAAACTGGACTGGGCGTCAACTTGTGGCCTTGGCACTGCAGGTATGGGGTTTGGGGGCAGCTGGGGGGGAGGGTGGGGAGGAGGATGGGGAGGAGGGGGAGGAGGGGGGACAGCAGCGGCGGCAGCGGCTATGGCAGTTGCGGCATGTGAGCCGGTGACGGTGTTCTTCCCCCATTACAGCGACAAGGAGTTGGAAACTGTTCTTGTGGGGATGCGGCCAAACCAGCCACTCTTCCTCTCCTTCCTCAGGTATTTCACCCACGTCCCTTCCCGTGTTTTGAGTCGACTCAGAACACAGCATGTGAGCCGGTGACGGTGTTCTTTCCACCGTACAATGACAAGGAGCTGGAAACTGTTCTTGCTGGCATGCGGCCCTATCAGCCGCTCTTCCTCTCCTTCCTCAGGTATTCCACCCACCCACATTCGTTCACATGCATCTGCTCCCACAAGCCTTCCACATGGACCCTCCCCTTCTCCCCCCGCCCTGACCGTTGACCTCCTATATCACACACTTTCCCTTCCACCAGTTTTTCAACCTCTGTTGCCATTTATGAACCTTCCCGACCCTATGTTTCCCACCCCAGGCAAGTGGTTCCAGTCTATTCCCGCGCCTGTCGCTCCCTGCCGCACCTGGCCTCACTTGTGGACCACTCCTGGCCACTCTACACCGCTCCCATCACCTCAGGCTCTGTGCCACCCGACCATCCCAGCTGTGCTCGCCTGCTGTATATGAGAGCACAGGAGCACATAGGAGCCACACTGAAGCAGCCCGTTTCCACCCTCGTGCGATCATCAGTCGTGGATAGTGCCGCTGCTGCTGCTGCTACTTCTGCAGCTGCAAACTCCCCATTTTACGGAATGTACCTGCTCCAGTGCACCCAGCGGCAACAGCAGCAGCAGCAGCAGCAGATGAGGCTAGGGTGGGGCCCAGAAGCTCCAGTGGACGGTCCAGATCTTCCCATCATGGCTCGATTCGCCCTCGTGGCAGCGTTCACCTGCTCCCGCAACCCAGCACCGTCCGATCTGACCCTGTTTAACTTTTCCGACTCTGCACACCCCGGTGGAGCCGGATTTCGGTCCAGGAGGAAGAGGAAGGCAAGTGCAGCGGATCTAGACAAGCAGGCTAGAGAGGCCAGGGAGGCCCAGCAGCAAGGGCCTATTCCCTTCCCGCTTTCCCGCTGGCTGCTCATGGCTCACCACTTGGTGAAAGCTCATTGGTCCTATCCTCTCGCGTTGGTTTCTAGTGGTGCTGCTGCTGAGTCAGCTCCTGCAGTGGACGACAGCCTGCTGACTCAGCTTGCGACTCTGATTCGCGGTGGGCTGGTGAGCCAGTCAGGGGAAGACAGGCTGGCGAGCACGACACGCTTCAAGTGCAGTGCGAGAAAGGAACTGGTGAAGCAGGTATGACGATAGGAGGAGGGAGGGAGCAGATGGGGAGGGAGTTGAGGGACGGGCGGCTATGGTAGGAATCCAGGGAGGTGATGGATGGGGGTTGGGAGAGGGGAGAGGGGTGAAGAAGGGTTTTTGTGCAATTGCTTTTTATGCATTGCCCGGTGTTCGTGTAATTGGTGCGCAGTTATGCTTAATGCTTGTGTGTGTCTATGTGCTTTTGTGTGCGCTTTGTGTGGGAGTGCAGGTGGCGAACACTCTTGGCATTCGGCTGGAGCAGCTTCTGCTCTTTGGCTAAAGGACTCATTTGCTTGGTCTATGGTGAAGGATTTTACGATCAATGCAAGCAAACGACGTCTTGTGCAGTGGATGATTTCTTCACCCAGTTGACCAGATCATTTGTCCCATGGCTGGCTGTTGTGGACCCCTTATTGATAGGTGTATAGCTCAATATGGTAAGGTCAACAACATGGATGCAAGACCGAAAGAGACCTTTGAATCAGCAGCATCATTACTGTAGCACAGGGCTCGATGACAATAGTGTACTGTAGTGCACCCGCTTTTACAGGAAGTCAAGGATGCCCAATTGGCCCCAGGTTGCCTCCTTGCCACATAAGCTCAAGCCAGGTTTGACTTCGGGAGAGAGCTCCACCCGATCCGACTTGACACGTGCTTTCCTCAGCTCGGATTGCTTGAGCGGGTGTGATACATCTATGATAATATCGAAGGCTCTCCAATCAGTGAATCCAATCCACGTGTCTTAGCTGTCAGTCAGCTCTCCTCTTCTGACGGCCCCATCCCTCCTGCCAGAGTCAGAGCTCCTGCCAGGAGGTGCAACCGCACTTCAACCACGGTTCTCGCGCATTGAATGTTTTGAAACGCAACAAACCGAACAAGACCGTAGTTATGGATGCAGGATTTTTTTGACCGGAGAACTCCTGAGGTAGGTGTAATGCTGCTATCTGACTTCACTACGTCGGTCTCCATTGCCTGCAGAAATTACTCCATGGATTTCCGGCCTTCACGGCTCCGCATTTTCTAACTGGACCAGGGAGGTTGTCCGCTGTACTTAATTTCAAATCTAGACTGACCATCGACTGTTCCGATTTCGGGGTGCGAGATGCATGCCTTTTTGCGTCTTCGAAATAGAATACGGTCTGATAGGAACCACGCGATTGGCTCCCTGGGTGTGTCCCCGTAATTTGAGAGCTGCTTGTATACGCCATTGTTCATAGCCTCTTGAAGGACAAATTCTATTACCTTTCGAATGAATTTTAAGAAATGGCGATGGTTAATCCATCACCAATCATATCCCACCTGACGTGTCGCCATCTGCCGTCCGTCGCCTGCCAGCTGTCATGGGCAGTCCTCAGGACTGTCAACCTCCCCGCATTAGCCGCCGCTTATTCCTTCTCCTCAGCCAGTGGCGGTTCGAAAGCATCAACGCATCCCGGCACCCCTGAAAGCACGTCACCAAAGTCATCAGTGTTACCTAACAGAACCACACCGCACCGAGTCATAGTCACGAACTCGTACCCGATCGCAGCCGCAAACCCCACACCCTGTGACCTATTTAGCTCTCTCCATGACCCTTCACAGGTCCCCCCCTTCTCCCCCCTCCCACCGCAATCTCCCCACTGCCGTCCCGCCACCACCAGTCCTCCCCGAGCCTCTTGGCCTGGGGACCGAGCCTCAGGCTCGGCGTCTCCCATTGCTGCCGCAGGTCCGGGCTTTTACTCCCTCTCGGCGTGGCTCGTCAGGCGAGGTCTGAGCACGGACCGGGAGGGGGGAGAGAGAGGCGACACAGGGCTCAGCGACCTGGGTCCGGGCATGGGCTTGGGGCGGGAAGGCCCGTCCGCGCAGGCGCTCATGCCGCCGGGTCCGCGGGACGACCTCCGCGCGGGCGCGGGCGCGGGGGAAGGCGAGGAGGCGGAAGGCGCGGAGGGGGCGGAGGATGATCATCTACCGGAGGACGATCAGGAGGCGGTGTTGGACTCGGTGGTGAAGGTGTTCGCCGTGGGGAGCAGCCCCAACTACCGCCTGCCCTGGCAGAACAAACCCCAGCGCGAAGTCACCGGCTCAGGTGGGATCAGATTCCCTCAGTGCCCCTACTTGGGTCCACTCTGTGTGGGCTCTTGTCAATACCCCCTGGCTGTCATGTGTGCTGCCACGACTTCCCTTCCGTCTGCAACCTTCTCTGCACGCACCTCCGCAACTGCACCCCCTCTCAAGGACTCACCGTTCCCCTACCGCCCCCGCACGCCACCCTCCCTCCCCTGCGTGGGTGCGGGCGAGCAGGGTTCGTGATTATGGGCCGTCGGATCCTCACCAGCGCGCACATCGTAGCCGACCAGGCGTTCGTGCTCGTGAGGAAGCACGGCTCGCCCAAGAAGTACCTCGCGCAGGTGAGAGCATGCGGGAGGTGTGTGTGAGGGAGGTGTGTGTGAGGGAGGGGGCGTGAGTGGAATTGAGAAGGGTGGGTGGGATGAGATTGAGAGCTACGACTAGGCGTTCGTGCTCGTGAGGAAGCACGGTTCGCCCAAGAAGTACCTCCCTCAGGTGAGAGCGTGCGTGCAGGCAGGGGGGGCTGTGAGGGGAACTAAGAGGTTGGGATGGGGTTGGGGTGAGGGGACGTGAGGGGATATGAGGGGGTTAGGTTGAGTTAGTCGGGGCTGAGAAGAACCTTGCGCTGACTCCCTACTCCCCCCACTCCCCTCCCCCCCCCCCCGCCTTGGTCCGCCTCTCCCCCCACCAGGTGCAGGCAGTGGCGCATGAGTGTGACCTGGCGCTGCTGACAGTGGGGGAGCCAGGCGCGGGGGGAGGGGGCATGGGGGGAAGGGGGGGGCACCACGAGCACGAGCATGATCACCACCATCATCACCATGACAGATTTGGGGAGGATAAGGGCGGCGCAGGGGGAGGGGGAAGAGGCGGAGGGGGCGCCATGGGGGATTTCGGGGGCGGAGGGATGGGGAGGGGGGGGGGGGCGGACTGGGGAACCGGATGGGCGGGGGGAAGGGGATGGGGGGGGATATGGGCGGGGGAATGGGGATGGGAAGGGGGGAGGCGGGGAGAGGGGGGGGAGCGGGGGGCAATGAGGAGTTTTGGGCGGGGCTGAATCCGCTGCCTCTGGGGGATGTGCCCCAGCTGCAGGAGTCTGTAGCCGTGGTGGGGTACCCTCAAGGTGAGATGCTTGGGTGTGGGCGTGGGCGTGGGCGTGGGTGTGGGCGTGGGCGTGGGCGTGGGTGTGGGCGTGGGCGTGGGCGTGGGCGTGGGTGTGGGTGTGGGCGTGGGCGTGGGCGTGGGCGTGGGCGTGGGCGTGGGCGTGGGCGTGGGCGTGGGCGTGGGCGTGGGCGTGGGCGTGGGCGTGGGCGTGGGCGTGGGCGTGGGCGTGGGCGTGGGCGTGGGCGTGGGCGTGTTGTTGCAGGCTGAGTCCGTTCAGCATGCGCACTGCTCTCAAGCCATTGCTTCTGCCACACCTCCTCCCCACCTCCCGCACCTCCCGCCCCCTCCACACCCAAAGGAGGAGACAACATCAGCATCAGCATGGGCGTGGTGTCACGGGTCGAGCCCACCAAGTACGCGCATAGCGGAGCCCACCTGCTGGCCATCCAGATCGATGCAGCCATCAACCCCGGCAACAGCGGTGGACCCGCCCTCGTCATGACCCACGTGCCCGTCATGGCGACAGACAGCACCAGCATGAGTGCTGCTGCTGCTGATTCTGGTGGCGCGTACAGCAGCAGCAGCAGCAGCAGCAGTAGTGGTGGTGGTGGTGGAGAGAGCAGCAGAAGCAGCGGCAACGGGAGTGGCAGTGGCGGTGGCAGGGGTTCGAGGCCTTCACAGCATATGGATTCTCGACTGCAGGGCGAGTGTGGTGGGAGGGCAGGAGGGATGGAGCGGCGGTCGTTGTTAGAGGAAGAGAATGAATCACCCGGCATCAAAGGTCTCGGCTGGGAAGACGAGGGCGGGGACGGGATGATGTTTGAGAATTCTCAAAAATCACTCGGGATCATGGGGCTAAGGGGGGAAGATGGGCAGGGGGAGCGGGAGATGGGGGAGGAGGGAGGGGAGGAGGATGTGGGGCTGGGAGGGGGTTGGGCGGAGATAGAGGCGGAGCGGGCGGCAGAGGAGGCGGCAGCGAGGGCGGCGCCAGTGGCGATGAGGGTAGAGTACCGCGTGGTGGGGGTGGCGTTTCAGAACCTCACAGGCGCGGAGAACATCGGGTGAGTGTAACTCCTCTCCCTCCCCCATCTACTTCACTTTCCCCCTTTCCCCCCCAGCGTAGTCCCCATGCCCTCGTCTGACATAATGCATCACACCCGTGCATCGCCACCACTGTCTCTTCCCCCTCTTCCTCCCTTCTCCCCCCCCCCCCCCCCAGCTACATAGTACCCACGCCCATCATCCATCGCTTCCTGCACGATGCAGCGCTGCACCACCGCCGCTTCCACGGCTTCTCTTCATTAGGCGTGGCATGCCAGCCGCTCGACAACTGGCAGCTGCGCGCACACCTGCGCCTGCCCCCCACTGCGACAGGCGTGTTGGTCAACGCGGTGCAGCCGCTGAGTGAGAGCAGCCGGTGGATCAAGAAGGACGACGTGTTGACCGCGTTTGACTGCGTACCTATTGCTGATGATGGCTCTGGTGAGTGGAGAGGAAAGAATTGAAGGTTCCGAACATGATTGAGATGGTCAAAGCCTCTGAAGATTTACTTCCCTTTCCCTCGCCCTCATGAGGGCTAGAAAAGCGACCCTCTCAATATACTCAAGGTCAACCCTTTTCTTATTGCCCTCTTCTGTTCCCCCCTGCCCGTGGCAGTGCTGTTCCGCAAGAGGGAGCGATTGCCATTTGACTATCTGGTGTCGCTCAAAGGCGGCGGGGAGAGGGCGAGAGTGTCGGTGTACCGCGGAGGGCAGCTCATGCACTTCGATATGACTGTCAACCCGGTATGATTGGTTGGTTACCATGCAATGGTCTCTGATATGATGCGTGATACGCATGGTCTACATGTGTCGTGTATGGGCACATCCATGTAGCGCAATAGGAGGACACGATTTCTAAGGCGCCTCAAAAGTCATGCCACGCTTGCCCACTCTTATGTGGTGCTGACCCCTCCCCTTCCTTCCCTATCCTCCTTCACTCCCTCCTCCCCCACAGCTCCCCCCGTTGGTCCCAGCGCAGCAGTTTGACAGCGCGCCAAGCTACTTCATATTCGCAGGGCTGGTCTTCATGCCGCTCTCCCAGCCCTACCTGCACGAGTACGGGCCTGACTGGCTGCACTCCTCCCCCCGCCGCCTCTGCGACCTCGCCCTCCGCAACCTGCCCGAGAAACCCGGGCAGCAAATCATCATCCTCTCTCGGGTGAGCTTCAGGACGTCTGAAAAGGAGCAAGAGGTGGTTGGGAATTGTTCTTGGAGTCTGCAAGGTGGTGCTATCTCAGGTGAGAAGAGGTGGCTTGGCTTGATGGAGGGAGCCAAGTCCTGAGATGAGATGTTTCAAGACTCGATGAACGGTCAGCAGAGGGTCATGCTCTTACAGAGTCGCAGAGCTGTGGGATGCCTGAAGACTCAAAATTCTCTAGGCTCCTTGTCCGGCCAGCAGATCGTTATCCCGTGACCAATATGGGTAGCCGCTTGATTGTGCCCTTCCCCCGGCCTCATCATGCATCAATCCCACTGCTCACTTTTCTGCTGTCTGTGCCTTCCTCCCAAACCCCCCAATGCTTGACACCAGGTACTGCCTGACGAGGTCAACAGTGGCTACGAGCGCCTGGCAGACCTGCAGGTGAGATGTAGTATGAAGCATGGAGCCTAGTTTCCAAGATGCTGCTCGCGCCCCTCTGTTCATAGGCATAACCACCACCGTCTCTTCCCCCTCTTCCTCCCTTCTCCCCCCCCCCCCCCCAGCTACATGGAGCCTAGTTTCCTAGATGTTGCTCGCGCCCCTCTGTTCACAGGTCCCCCTTTTCACCTCAGTCTTCCTCTTACCTTCCGCAAATTCACCCTCTCCCCTCCTCCTCATCCTCTTCTCCCCTGGTCCTTCGTCCTCTCTTCTCTTCACCGCCCCCCTCTCTTTCCCTGCAGCCTTTCTCCTCTCCTCACATGTGCTCCTCTCCTCTCCTCTCCTCCCCTGCCCCCTCTACTCTTCCCCCCTTCGTTATCCCCCATCTGCTGCACCTCTCCCCCACTTCCCACACTCGTGCATCCGCAGGTGCTCAAGGTGAATGGGATGGAGGTGGACAATATCCGCCAGCTCAAAGACGCCGTGCTGGAAACATCTGGACCGTTTGTTCGGTTTGATCTGGAGGACGGGCGGATCATAGCCATTGACATGGCAGCTGCCAGGAAGGTGAGGTGTTTGTTTGGATTGCATTGGGTTGGAGAGCTGCCTAGGAGTCTCAGGCTTGTCAGCCCAGCTTTTCCCAGTCCGTCTGATAAATTCCCTGGAACTAATCATCCCTTGCTTTCTCATTACGCCGACATTATTGCTTGCTTTTGCACCTCAACACATGTGCACATGCGCGCATGCATACATGACCAGTCGAATGCGCAGATTCTGCGGCGCTACCGCGTGCCGAGTGCATCCTCTTGGGACCTCCGCCAAATGGCTGACAGCCACTCCCACGACAGCCACAGCCGCTTCTGACCGCCATTTATAGCTGCCACTTCGTGGCCACTTACCGTAGTAGTAGCCACTTATTAGCCACGTACTGTGTGATCTTCAGTGGCCACCTTAAAAAAAGCAATGGTTCTGAGGCAGTAAGAACGCAGTGTTGATACATTCAACATCCATCCCACCCACGCAGGGGTGTTGAGGTGAAAGTCCATGTTCAAGGGTTGATCACATGTTTATTTATTGAGCACTTGTTGGTGCCGTTGGTCACAATATACATGTCTAGCTTCAAACTGTATTCACTTAAAGCACCATCTTGTGTAGAAGTATTCGATTCAATCAACCACAATGTGAGCAAACAAACACATATACACAAGTCAATCCGGCTTTGCTCTCATCTGCATCTTGCCATTCTGCCCAGCAAACAACACCTGCTGCCTATACCCCCCCCTACAGTCACCCCCCCTATAGCCATTCCTACGCCTTGCCCTCTCCCTAGCCCCCTGCCACTCCCTACCCCTGCCCTCTCCCCCTTTCTCCCTCCCCAATAGCCCTCCTCCCCTCCCTACTCCCTGCTCTCCCCCTCTCCTCCCCTCCACCATCGCTCTCTCGCTTTCCCCTCTCCTCCCCCTCCCTATCACCCCCTCTCTCCCCGCTCTCCTCCCCATCACCCCTTCTCTTCCCACTCTCCTCCCCTTCACCCCCTCTCTCCCCGCTCCCAATCACCCGCTCTGTCCCCGCTCTCCTCCCAATCACCCGCTCTGTCCCCGATCTCCTCCCCATCGTTCCCTCTCTCCCCACTCTCCTCCCCATCACCCCTTCTCTTCCCGCTCTCCTCCCCTCCACCCCCTCTCTCCCCGCTCTCCTCACCATCACCCCCCCCTCTCCCCGCTCTCCTCCCCTTCATCCTCCCCAAGTCCCGATGCATCTTCCACAGATCGCCCAAGAGAACCATCATTAAAAGCACCCTCATTAAAAGCACCCTCATTATAAGCACCCTCATTATAAGAACCATCAGTACCTTTCAGCACCCCTCCCCTTCCTCTGCCTCTGCCCCTGCCTCTCCCCCGTCCTCTCCCCCTCCCCCTGCCTCTCCCCCTCCCCACCCGAACAGCACCTCTCCCCTCGGGCGCATAGGAGTCCTCTTCCTCCCCTGCTTCCTCCTCTCCAGACCCACTCTCCTCCTCCTCTTCCCCTTCGCCACTGCTCGTCTCATCCCTCGTGTTCACCTTCTTTCCACCGTCCACTCCTTTCCGTTCACTCTCTCTTGTCCCTCTACTCTCTACTATGCTACCCCTTCCTCTGCCCCTACCCCTCCCTCTGCCCCGGCCCCTTCCCCGGCCCCTCCCCCTCCCCCTCCCCCTTCCCCTCCCCCTGCCCCTGCCTCTGCCCCTCCCTCTCCCTCTCCCCCTCCCTGACTCAGCAGCAATTCGATCATCAGGCTCATACAAATCCTCCTCCTCCTCCTCTTCCTCCTCCTCCTCTTCCTCCTCCTCCTCTTCCTCCTCTTCCTCCTCCTCTTCCTCCTCTTCCTCTTCCTCCTCCTCCTCCTTGTTCAATCCTCCTCCTGATTCCTTTGCCTCCAATTCCCCCCATTTTGCCTTGTCCCCCACAAACTCGCTCTCGTCCCCACCCTTCCAGCCCCATTCGCCATCACCCTTTCTCTCCTTGTGCCGCCCTCCCCCCCTCCTCGCACGACGAGCACCCCCGCCCACCCCCTCCCCACACCGTACAGCAGCGTTTGTCACCTCCTCTGTGCTTCTCAACCGCACTGCACCATCCATCACCCCTTCCATTGCAATATCCATTATCAAACCTTTCCCACCCTCCTCCACCCGTTTCTCTCCGTCCTTGTCATCCTTGTCACTTGCTCGCCTCATTAAAAGGTCCAACCCAGTCTGCTTCTTCTCCCCTCGCCTCCCCTCCCCACTCACGCCACTCACTTCCTCCTTCCCAACCCACCCCTCCTCGTCGTCACGCTCCTCCTCCTCTTCACTCCCCTCCTCCTCTTCACTCCCCTCCTCCTCTTCACTCCCCTCCTCTCCACTCCCCTCCTCTCCACTCCCCTCCTCATCAACGCTCCCCTCCTCCTCCGACTCTTCCTCCTCCTCAGCTGTCATCCCGCTCCTCCCCAGCCCATCACCGCGCCTGCAAGCTTCTCGCCTCGCCCTCGTTGCTCTCTTCCCCCGCCTTCCTCCACCGAACATGCCCCATCCTCTATCCTCCCCATCAATCTCAAAAAGCTCCTCAATCTCTCTCTCCTCCTCTTCCTCGTCCCCATCCCCACCCTCCACCTCCTCCTCTTTTTCCTCCTCTTCCTCCTCCTCTTCCTCCTCCTCCTCCTCCTCCTCCTCCACCTCCCTCCCTCGCCCCCTCCCCCTTGCCCCACTCCCCCTCTCCCTTGCCCCGCTCCCCCTCCCCCTTGCCCCGCTCCCCCTCCCCCTTGCCCCGCTCCCCCTCACTCGCCTGCTCCTCACCCTACTCCTCTTCCCAACCCGCCTCCTCTTTGCTCTACTCCCCCCAAGCTCCTCACTCTCCTCGCTCTCCTCCCGAGCCTCCCTTTCCTCCCTCTCCTCGCTACCCCCCCGCCCTCGTGCTCACCCCGTCATCATCCTCCACCGCTCTCAGAATCTCATCAGCTTCATCCCTGTCTCGCTGCTCTGTTTCCACTCCCACTGTCGAGAGTTTCACAACTAGTCGCCTCTTATCCTCCAAGTGCTTATCCTCCAAGTGCTTATCCTCCAAGTGCTTATCCTCCAAGTGCTTATTCTCCAAGTGCTTATCCTCCAGGAAACCACCTTCTAAGTATTTCTCCTTCCCTCCCTCCTCCCGCCCACCCCCCCCAATCCCAAGCATGACACCCCAGCCTCTTTGTCTTTTGTGCCTCGCCCTCTCTTGTCTCTTTCGCTTGCGAGAAAGAAGAAACGGCCTGCTTTCTTCTCCTGCCGTAACAGGAGCGGCTGTGTCACCATGCTCTGATCCTAAACTCTGGACATGCTTTGACTGCTCCCCTTGGTGCTTTTCCGAATGCTCCCCCCATTGCTCCTCTTTCTCCTCCAATTGCATCCCTTTCGCCCCTGATTCCTCCCCTTTCTCCCCCAATTGTTCCCCCTTTTCCCCCCATTGTTCCCCGTTCACCCTTAATTGCTCCCCGTGTTCCTCCTTATCCCCCTCATGCCTCTGCTTCTCCTGTCCCCCCCACGCTTCCCACCACTTGCCTCCAGTGTGCTCCTGAGAATGATCGCCCCACCTTGCTCGCTTCGCTTCTCTTTCCTCCCCTGCCTGCTCGCTCATCCCCACGCCAGCTCCAGCAGTAGAAACAGCACCACCACCAGCAGCAGCACCAGCAGCAGCAGCAGCACCAGCAGCAGCAGCAGCACCACCACCAGGACCAGCAACAGCACCAGCACCAGCAGTAGTAATAACAGCAGAGGGAGCAACAGCAACAGCAATAGCAGCAGCACCACCACCAGCAGCAGCAGCAGCACCACCACCAGCACCAGCACCAGCACCAGCAGCAGCAGCAACAGCAGCAGTAGCAACAGTAGCAGTAGCAGCAGCAGCACTAGTAGCAACAGCAGCGACACCAGAAGCAGCAGCACCAGAAGCAGCAGCAGGATTAGAAGCAGCAGCAGCAGTCACAGCAGCAGCACCAGCAACAGAGCCTGGAGCAGCAGCAGCAGTCACAGCAGCAGCAGCAGCAGCAGCCAGCCTGGAGCAGCAGCAGCAGTCACAGCAGCAGCACCAGCAGCACTTTCCATTCCCTTGCGCTTCCTCACATACTGAATCCTCACCCTACCATCATCACGAGCCACACCAACACTAGCAGCAGCAGCGGTGGCAGCACTGGCAGCAGGAGGGGAAGCAGCAGCAGCAGCTGCAGCAGCAGGAGGGGCAGCAGCAGGCAGGGCGAGGCAGATGGGGAGCACGTGTCGATCCCAGCCCTGGGAGGCACGGTAATCGCCATACTCACGGGCCCGCGGTTGCAGCACTTCTATAAGAGGAATGTCAATGAGAATGTCACTGAGAAGTGTTTCAATGGGAAGAGTGTTTGCAGTGACTGCAGGGATTGGGATGCTTGCAGCGATTGTAGTGAGTGAAGGATGGGTGGTTGAATGGGTATGTGGCGAATGGGGTAGTGAGTGGTGGGAGTGAGTGGGGCTGGGTGTAGGGTGGTGGGGGCGCGTGCGTGCAGCAGAGGTGGAAGGAGAGGTGGACGGATCATGGGTCACTGCTTCTTTCTGTCCTCCCTTATCCACCCCATCCATATCAGCACCTCCCGCATCAGCACCTCCCGCGTCAGCAGCAGCATGTCCTCCTGCCATGTGAGAACCTTCCACATCAGCAGCATCCACGTCAGCACCACTCACATCAGGTCCCAGCGAGTCACCTGCAAATGACACGTGTCTCTTCTTTCTCCTTCTCTCTTCCTCTTGCCCTTGCAAATCACCTATCCCATTCTGCTCCTCCCCATCACTCCCCCGACCTCCCTCCTCACCACTCACCCTCTTTCCCTCCTCCTTCTCACTTTCCCTGATTCCCTTCTTATCAATCACCCTCTTTCCCTCCTCCTTGTCACTTTCCCTGATTCCCTTCTTATCAATCACCCTCTTTCCCTCCTCCTTGTCACTTTCCCTGATTCCCTTCTTATCAATCACCCTCTTTCCCTCCTCCTTGTCACTTTCCCTGATTCCCTTCTTATCAATCACCCTCTTTCCCTCCTCCTCATCACCCACTCTCGTTCCCTTCTCCTCACCAATAACCCTCTGCTCCTCCTCGCTCCTCCCAACATCCCACACAGATGGGTCATAGCTCTTCTCTTCCACCGCCACCACAAACAGCGGCAGCACCTGCTGGGCCCCCACCATCCCATTCCACTCCCTCTCACGCCTCCCACCCCCACCACCACGCCTTTGATTCTTCCCCATCAACACCTCCTCCTCCTCCCCTTCCGCATCATGCTTCTCCTCCACATCCTCTTCCTCCTCGTCCTCCCCTTCCTCCTCCTCCTCCTCATCTTCCTCTTCTTCCTCCTCGTCCTCCTCTGCTTCGGTCACTTCCTCCCAACTCACACAAGCAACACACACCTGCCGTCCCTCTTCTTGATCTTCAAAAGCCTTGCTGAGTTCTTCCGCCCCCTCTTTCTCTCCCTCACTCCTCTCCCTTGCTGCCCCTCCCTCTCCTTCCTCTCCCTCTTCCACTACCTCAACCTCACACCCTTCCAACTCTCCTCCCTCCTCACCTCTCCGCTCTCCAATCCCCTCCACTTCCCTCCTCTCCTCCTCTCCTCTATCCCCTCCCACATCCTCGTCTCCTCGTGCTGCTCCGTCTCCCTCCCTCTCCCTCCCTCCATCTGCTTCTATCACCACCCCAGCATCCCCTGCATCAGCAGTCACCACCACACCCTTCGCACCACCCCCTGCTATCAGCCCCTCTGCTTCGCCAGTCCCAGACATCACTACAACACCGGCTGTAGCAGGCTCCACTTCCCCTGCAGCTGTAGCCACTACAGCCATCACCACAGCAGGCAGAGCTGTATCAGCAGCAGTAACTTCCTGCTCTAATGCCGAAGCTGCTGTATCCACCCCATTTCCTCCCTGCCCCCGAGTAACCCCTGCTGCCTCCTCCCCTCGCTCACAACCCCCAAGCCCCTCTTTCCCTCCCTGTGACACCTCTTGTACTGTGTCGCGTGACTTGTCCTGTACCGAGGGTGACAATAACGAAGGGAAGGTTTCAAACGGCGGCAGTGGCGCCACACCAACCGCACCAAACACCTGAAGCTCGGCAGCCTTGCGGTAGGCCCGGGGCAGGCTCGGGACGCGCCGAACCACGCTGACAGACCCGGGGAAAACCAGGAGCGGGAAGTCCCGATGCACCTGAGTGACTTCCTCCGTACTCATAACTGAGAAGCCGAATCCCTTGATCCACGTGCCCTCTGCTCCCGGTGCTGCTGGCAGGCAGAACTTTCTCACTCCGAGCAGGGAGAAGAGCACGTCTAGTGCGTTTAGCAGTACCTTGCACAGACCCTGGTGGGTAGGGAATTGGAGAGGATAGCGGGGTGAGGAAGGGAGAGCGAGCAGGGAGAAGAGGACGTCCAGTGCATTGAGAAACACCTTGCACAGACCCTGGTGGGAAAGGGAAGGGGAGAGAGAGGGGAGGGAGCCAAGAGAGGAGTGGGGAGCGGGGTGAGAAAGAAAGAGAGGATGGGGGGAGGAAGGATCGAGGGAGAGCAAGGAGGGAGGATGTAGGCTATTAGGCTTACCCGGCGGCGGTGTGAGAAGGCTGTGGCAACAAGGGGCATTTCAGGAGCTCCTGTGAGCCTTTGTGGGCACAGGAGCTCACAGAGCCTTGGACTCAGCGAGGCTACTCGGTTTTACCCGGCGGCGTTCATTGGGCTTACCCGGCGGCGGTGTGAGTAGGCGGTGGCAACAAGGGGCATTTCAGCGAGCTGGCGGCCAAAGATGCGGATGCAGGCAGCACACACCACGCGGTCGCGCTGCTTCAACACACAGCACAGCATGCCCTGAAACTCGTGCTCCCTGCTGCTGCGACTGGTGGGGTGAGAAATGGGGGAGAAAGGCGTGGGGGAGGGGTGAGAGAGGCAAAGGATGCAGGCAGCACACACAACGTGGTCACGCTGCATCAACACACAACACAGCATGCCCTGAAACTCGTGCTCCCTGCTGCTGCGACTGGTGGGTTGATAAACGGGGGAGAGAGGCAGAGGGAATGCACGGGTGAGGGATGGAGAGGCAAGGAAAGAGGAGGGCAGCATGGGTGCCTCAGCACGATGCACAGGATGCCCTAAAACTTGAGCTCCCTGCTGCTGCTCCTAGAGCATTACCTGCCAACTATGGTGGAAGCACGTCCTTACCTGCGAACTATGGTGGAAGCAGGTCCTTACCTGCGAACTATGGTGGAAGCACGTCCTTACCTGCGAACTATGGTGGAAGCAGGTCCTTACCCGCGAACTATGGTGGAAGCAGGTCCTTACCTGCGGACCATGAGGGGAATGAGGTCTTTCCCCGCGAATGCATCCTTGATCGGATCAAACAACTCCACAGGCCTTTTTCCAGGAGTGAGGGAGGGGTGAGAGCAGGATGAGCGAGGGGAACGGAAGGCTTGCGTGGTAGAGGGGCAAGGGAAGAGGAGAGGAATGAGGCTTTTACCTGCGGACCATGAGGGGAATGAGGTCTTTCCCCGTGAATGCATCTTTGATCGGATCAAACGACTCTGCAAACAGCTGACACACGCCGCCCAGCGTCAGCCCATTCGCCTCCAGTCCCCGCCGTCCCTTCAGCACCTGCCACGTCAGCTCGCCGCCCCGCGCCCTGCTTTGCGCCGCCCGGCCCTGCGACGCATTCAACGTCAGGTCAATGGATGGCACCCGAGGCTGGGAGGAGGTGCTATGCTGCTGAGGCGTGTTGAGAAGCGTGGTGGGCGGAGGCAGAGGCGGAGGCAGGGGGGAGGTGGAGCAGTGGGGAGCGGGGCTGATGCAGGCACCAATACTGGCGCTGGCATCCTGCCCCTGCTTCTGCCCCTGCTGCTGCCCCGATGCTGCTGCTGCTGGTGCTGGCACAGCAGCATCATCATCAGCAGCCGCACCCCTAACAGAAGGAGAAGCAGCAGCACCGTTGCCAGCACCAGTAACAGCACCAGCAGCGCGCTGCCTTGGCTGCGGCTCTAGCAGGTGAGCCTCCTCCATATCCTCCCAGTCAGGCAGATCCGGCAAATACATGCTTCCCCGCTCCAGAACCATCTGCACCGCATTGAACACCTCTTCACACGCCGCGCAGCAGAACCAGTTGCCCTCAGGCAGCCTCTCCAGCACCTGAACCCCGTGGTCCTTGAGGCAACCCACGTGATACTCCTTCTCGCACTGATCACAGAATATGATTGTCCGCGGACCAAACCCCGACGGGACAAAGTCGTGTGACCCGGAATGGCACAGCACGCACCCTCCCCCCGCGCTCTCCAGCTCCTTCACCAACCGTCTGCACCGCTCTACATCTACATCCACCTCCCCCAACCCTTCCGCACCCTTCCCGCCCCCTTCCTCCTCCCTGCCTCCCCCACCGCCGCCTCCCCCCCCCGCCGCCTCCCCCTTCCGCTTCCCCTTCCCCCCGGCGCCCCGACCCCGCCCCTTCCCCCTTGCGCCCTCCCCCTTGCCCACACTCGGGGGGAGCGGAGCCAAAAGCCTTGAAAAAGCCGTAGAGGGCTTACAGGTAGGGCAATACCAGTCGGAACCAGGAATCGAGTCGAGACCCACGCAGCCAGGGTGGTAGGCTCCTGGGCAGGTCTCACAGAGCAGCAACGTGCCACCGTCGCCGCAGTAGGTGCACTCGTCTGCATGGCCGTCCGCGTGCCCGTCTGTGCTGAGATGCACTCGTGGGCTCGACTCACACGAGTCTCGGGGTTCTCCTCCCCGCTTCAGGCTCGCCTTCCTCCCAGTGCCAAACCCGGCGGAAGCAGCAGAAGCAGTACCAGTAGCACCAGCAGAACCAGTAGCAGCAAACAAGGCAGGGGTGCAGGGGGGCCGGGAGGCTGCTAGCCTGATTGCGAGTTCGTGCAGGCTGTAGCCGTCGTCGGTGAAAATGCGGCTGTAGCTGGTGGGTGGGTGGGTGGGTGAGGCACGGCAGGGAGCAGGGTGAAGGGAAGGGCAAACCGGGGGGTGAAGGGAGTTGTGAAGGAAAGGAGTGAAGAGCCTTAGAAAAAAATTGGAGGAAAACAGAATGATCATCTTAGCAGAGATATGCGTGATTGGTGGGTTAAGGGTGTGGAGAGGACTCACGGGTTGCGGTGTGCACCCTTCCCTGCATGCGCCTCGAACTGAGAGCTGCTGACCTGCTCTCCAAACACCAGCAGGGTGGGGCAAGGATGACGCGGGAAAAAGGGGGAATAACAAAATCCAGTTTTGAGGCGCCTCAAAACTGACCTGCTCTCCGCACACCAGCAGGGTGGGGCAAGGATGCCGCGGGAAAAAGGGAGAGAAACAAAACCTCTTGTTGCTGAATGAATAGAACAGGGAAAGAGAATGGAAGAGAAAAGGGAAGAGGTGGGAAAAGGGACAAGGAGGACGCGGTGGAGGAGAGGGGGACTAACTGACCACTTGGTTGCAGCAGCTGCAGAGAATGCCACTACCCTGCTTAAATCCGTGCAGCAGACACTGGGGACCAAGGGGAGAGGACATGGGGAGGGGTAATGAAGTGAGTTCAGAGAAAGGTGGCATCGAAGGATGGTGCGCGGCATGGCATGAGGAATGGTGGACGATGGTGAGAGGAGAGAGTGGAACGACCTTATAAGGGAGGGCGGACGAGAGGCATGCAGGGGCACTCAAGTATGTAGAACGAAAGTGAAGGCTTCTGATTCTGGGCTGACTTCATCGAAGTCGTATCTTAGCACTGAAAGTCAATTACAAACCTTGATGTACCATTCTTGTATCCTATGATTACAGATATGCTTCCAAGGTTGCATCACCAGCTACTTCTTATGACAGCCAAGACACGATCGGTAACCTCTTCACGTGGTAACACTTTTGCGTGGTAACATCTCTGCGCGGTAACGTGTTCATATGGTAACCCGCTCACCTGCCCCTTCATGTAATAGCCAAGCCCGGTCCCGTCCTCTATGCCCCCTGGCCGGAACAATGCCTTGTGTGTTGACCCTGACTCCCTGGCGCATACACACATTTATGCACACACACACACACACACACACACACACACACACACACACACACACACACACACACACACACACACACACACACACACACACACACTGTGAGAGTCTTTCAGCGTTCGCAAGTGCAGGGAGGAGGCAGAACAAAAAAAAGAGGTGCAGTGTTTTGAGTCGACTCAAAACAGGGAGGAGGCAGAACCAGGCAGGAGGTGCACAGCGGAAAGAAGACGTGCGGAACCATCATGGAGACAAGGGCAACGCCACGATGAACAGCAGAAGCGACAACCACACCACACACACCTCTTCCTGACCGCCATGCCCTGCTGCTTGCGCACCTGCCCCTCTCCCACACCGCTCCCACCTCCACCTCCTCCAGCAACCCCTGCCCCACCAGATACCCCTCCCCCAGCTGCCGCCTTGCTGCCACTGCCAGGTGACCACACAGCCGGCCCAGGCAACCTGTGAAACCCCCCCCCAGCAGGCGATTTTGAGATTACTCCTCCCGGTGACCTTGGGATTACCGAGGGTGACCATGCGGCAGCAGCAGCAGGGGACGCCTTTCCACCCGGCTCTATCCCACCCACCCTCCTGGACCCCGCTACCCCTCTCCACTCCCCCTCCGTCCCTCCTCCCCACGCCTCCTCCCCTCCACCGCCCCACACCCCGACCCTCCCTACCCCCCCTTCCCCCCACACCCCTTCCTTAAACACCCGCCGCATCTCCCGCTCCACAGCCGCCGAAGCAGCAGCAGGCGCGCCTGCAAACCCCGCAATGAGAATAATATCCTTCAGACACGGGCCTCTCAACTTAGCCGCTTCAGCAGCCGACATGCACTCGCCCTCCCTCGCATTCGCAGCACACGGCACATCCAGGAAGGTGTAGTTTACCGCTTTCTTAGCCGCGCTCCCCGCGTGCACTTCAAAGACCGCGCACGCGACGACTTGCCGGCCCTTGCAGGAGCCGCACCCGCAGGCGACGCCCCCGCTGGTTACCACGCCGCGCAGGCGGTTACGGCCGTCGTCGTAGACCAATGGGATGCCGTCTAGCAGGCCGGATTCGAGCAGGGCTTTTACGTTCTTCGGGACAGCTGTCAGCTCGACATTGGTTGGGCCGGGGTAGGGGCGAGAGGGGAGCGTGGCGGTGGTAGTGTGGAGGGGTTCACCACCTGACACACCTGAAGGGGCACCTGCTGCTGGTGCGGGATGGGGGGCATCTGGGGCAACAGCGGGCGCCTCTGTTGTTTCACCTGGAGCAGGAGGTATGGGTACTGAAGCACCTGAGGGTTCACATGTGGGAGGCGCAGCAGTAGGTAATGCGCGGTGCTGCTTGGTTGAGTCAGGCTGCTCGGGTGGTACATGAGTAACCGGTGCCCCCGAAGCAGCGAGAGCCTGTGGTGGGGCGAGGGAGGAGGCTTTGGCAGGGCAGCTTGCCTTGCTGAACCCTTTCTCACATGAACTGGCAGCAACAGCACCACCACCACCAGCAGCAGCAGCAGCAGCAGTGATAGTAGCAGCAGCACCAGCAGCAGCGGAGACAGCAACATTAGCAGCGCTAGGAGCAGCAGCAGCTGCAATGGCGATGTCCGTGGGGACAGGCCCTGCTGTGTGCCGTGTGGCATCCACCATCACCTCCACCTCCACGTACCGCTCTGCATCCCCCTGTACCTCCACACACCCCTCTGCCTCCTCCTCAACCTCTACAATCCCCTCTGAATCCTTCTCCTCGCCCTCCACACACACCTTCACCTCATCCTCCTCCCCCTCATCCTCCTCCCCTTCCACACACATCCTCACCTCATCCTCCTCCCCTTCCCCTACGACCCATTCAACCCCATCCTCCTCTGTCGTTTCCTCTGTCCCTTCCTCCACCTCCTTTTCCCCCTCCACCTTCCCTTCCTCTTCCTTCCCCTCCTCAACCTTTTCCTCCTCTACCTTCCCTTCCTCCAACTTCCCTTCCTCCATCTTCCCTTCCTCAACCTTCCCTTCCTCCATTTTCCCTTCCTCCACCTCTGTTTCCTCCACTTTCCCTTCCTCTTCCCTCCCTTCTTCAACCATTTCCTCCTCCATCTTCCCTTCCCCCAGTTTCCCTTCCTCCACCTTTTCCCCCTCCCCCTTCCCTTCCTCTAATTTCCCTTCCTCCCCACTCCTTTTCCCCACAGTCACCTTTGCACTACCCCTTTCTCCTCTACCATCATTCTTACTCTCTGCAATCTCTTTCAACCCATTCGTTTCTCCATCAATCCCCTCCTCCCATTCATTTTCCCCTCCCCCTTCTCCCCTTGCCACTTCCAATCAATCTTCAAACCCTCAATCCCCTTCCCCTCAATTCCCTTTTCCTCATCTTCTATATCAGCATGACCTCCCCCCTTCACCTTTTCCTCACTCCCCTTCCCCTCCTTCCCCTTACTCTCATTCTCCTTTATCCTGATCTCCTTCCCCTCACAAACCCCCCCCTCCATCCCGTTCCCCTTATACCCTTTCCCCTCATGCCCTTCCCCCTCATCCCTTTCACCTCACTCGCACTCCCCTTATTTTCCCTCCCCTCAATCCCTGTCCCCTCATCTGCTTTCCCCACATGCCCTTTTGCCACTTGCGCTTTAAGCTCATCTCCTTTTCCCTCATTCTCCTTTCCCTCATTCCCCTTCCCTTCATTCCCACTCCTCTTAATCTCCTCTTCCTCACAACCCTTCCGCTCACATTCTTTCCCCTCAGTCTCTTTCCCTTCAATCCCTTTCCCGTCATTCACTATTCCCTCATGTCCTTTCCCCTCATGCCCTTTCCCCTCATGCCCTTTTCCCTCATTCGGTTTCCCCTCATCCCCTTTCTCCTCATCCCCTTTCTCCTCATCCCCTTTCTCCTCATCACCTTTCCCCTCATCTCCCTTCCCCTCATTCCCCATCCCCTCCCTTTTCCCCTCGTGCTCCCTTCCGTTTCCGCTCTGCTCAGCAATATCCCTCTCCCCACCTCCCTCTCTCTTCTCCCCACTCGTTCCCCCACTCTCCCCACTGCCCCCCGCCCTCTCCCCACGTCCTCCCTCACCCCCCCTTAAAACCACACCTTTTGAATCCACACCTTTTGAATCCACACCTTTTGAATCCACACCTTTTGAATCCACACCTTTTGAATCCACACTACCCCGGCTATCTCTCCCTTGCTCTTCCTCTACTTTCATCCCCTTCCCTCCGCCCTCCTCCACCCCCACAGGTCCCGCAAATGCAACCACAGCGGTCGCAACTGCCCTGCTGCATCCCTGGTTCTCTCTCCCCTCATGTTCTGATACTTTCATCTCACTCCCTCCACACTCATCCCTTCCCATGACTCCGGAATCTGCAACCGCACTACTCGCTGCTGCCGCACTACTCGCTGCTGCCCTGTTGCATCCCTGCCTCTTCCTCCCCTGCTCTTCCTCTAATTCCAGTTCACTTGCTCCCTCTGCTTCTTCTCCCGCTTTCCCTCCTTTTTCATCCTGATCCTCCTCCTTCTGTTCCTGCTTCCCTTCTTTGTTCCCTCTGTTCTCCTTCCCTTCATCCTCTCCTTCCTCCTTCCCTCTTTCCTCCTCTTTCCCTCCTTCCTCCTCCTTCCCTACTTCCTCCTTCCCTACTTCCTCCTTCCCTACTTCCTCCTTCCCTCCTTCCTCCTCTCCTTCCTCCTCCCCAACGTCCTTCCCTCCATCCTCTTTCCCTCCTTCCTCATGTCCTTCCTGCCCCCGTCTATCCTCCTCTTTCCCCTCCTCTTGTTCATTACTGATTTCCTCCCTGCCCTTCTCCTCCCTGCCTTTCTCCTCCCCTTCAGCATCATCATCCTCATCTCCTTGCTCCCCACCTTCTTCCTCCACATCCTCTTCCCCTTCGCCTTCCCTCCCTTCCCCATCTCCGTCTTTCTCCGTATCATCTCTCCCATCATTGCCACCGCTGTCATCCCCCCCATTACCCCCACCACCGCTCGCCCTACCGTCGTCCCCCCCACCACTGTTTCCCCCACCATCGTTCCCCTCCCCACCGTTTCCCCCACCACCATTCCCCCCACCACCATTCCCCCCACCGCCGTTCCCCCCTCCGCTGTTCCCCCCACCACCATTTCCCCCAGCACCATTCCCCCCACCACCGTTCCCCCCACCATCGTTCCCCCCACCATCGTTCCCTCCACCATCGTCGCCCCCATTCCCTTCGCCTCCTAGCTCTTCTCCATCACTCTCGTGCCCCTCTGATTCGTCCCCCTCCCTCTCTTCCCCCTCACATCCCTCCTCCCCATTCCCTTTTGCTCTCTTCTTTCTTCCGCTGCTCCCCCTGTCCACTCCCCTTTTCCCTCCACTCCTTTCCCCCCTATTCTTCCCTCTTCCCCCCTCCTTCCCCTTCTCCACCTCCTTCTCCTTCTCCACCTCCTTACCACTCTCCACCTCTTTGCCCCTACTTCCACCCATCTCTATCCCAGCTAAAGGCAATATTCGAATTCTCTTCACCCGCTTCCTGCTCCCCTCCCTGCAACCATCATCCACACCTGCATTCACAGCGCCCCTCCTCTCTGCCTTTGCATTCTCTTCACTCTCCCTCTCCTCTGCACCCCTTTCCACCGTACCATTCTCTCTCCTAACCCTCCTCTCACCGTTCTCCATCTTCTCCCCGCTCTCCCCCCTCTCCCCTCTCTCCCCTCCAACACCTCCACCCTCCGCCTTCCTCTTGCCTCTCCTTCTTCCCCTTTCACTACTCTTTTCCGCTCCACCGTCCCCCCTGCCCTCCCTCGCACCCTCCTCATCCGCACACCCCTCACTCCCCTCTCGCCCTCGTCCTCCCGACTCCACCCGGGCAACCACACGGCTTCCAAACCGCACTTTCACAACCCTCTCGCTCCTGTGGACCGACTCAGGACCCGCCTCCCCTCTCTTCGGCTCATTCGCATCTTGCAGCGACTCAGAAATCGCCTCTGCTGTTGCCTTCGCCTCCCTCACTCTGCTAGACCTCCTCTCCACTTCCACTCTAGCTCCCTCTCCCTCTCCCTCTGCCTGCTCCTTAGCGCTTCTCTCTGCCTTAACCCTCTCTGCTTCAGCCTTTTCCTTCGCTGCTCTCTCTGCATCAGCCTTTTCTTTTGCTTCCCGCTCAGTCTCTGCCTTTTCCTTCGCTTCTCTCTCAGCCGCAGCCTTCCTTTCAGCCTCCTTTCTTCTCTCCTCCTCTTCAGCCTTTTTCTCCGCCTCCCTTCGCCTCTCCTCCACCTTCCCCTTCGCCTCTGCCTCTGCAGCAGCCTTCGCGTTAGCTTCCACCTCGGCCCGCCTCCTCATAATAATTGCAGCCTTCGTTTTCCCTTCCCTCTCCGCCCTCCCCACACCTTCCCCCTCCCCTCTCGCCTTCACTTCTGCCTTTGCCCTTGCATCAGCCTCTTCTCTCTGCTTTCTCCGCTCCAACTCCTCCCTTTCCCGTCTCACTGCCTCTTCTCTCTCTCGTCGCCTCTCTGCCACTTCTCTCTCCTGCCGCCTCTCTGCCTCGGCCCGTGCAGCCGCCCTCATCTCTCTGTCCCTCGCAGCGATTTCCCTCCGCGCCTTCTCCTCTCTCATCATCTGCTCCCTTGCCTCTGCCTCCCGCGCTGCTGCTTCCCTTCTCACCACCTCCCGTGCCTCTGCTTCCTTCCTAGCTGTCTCTCTGGCTGCTACTGCTGCTGCCATTGCTGCCTCTCGCGCTGCTGCATCTGCCTTCCCTGCTGATTCCCTCTCCCGACTCTCCCTTGCAGCCCCCTCCGCCCCAACCCTAACTGGAAAAGACAATGTCACACCACCGCCAGCGCCACCAAAAGCACCAGCACCAGCACCAACATCAACACCAATAAAACCACCACCAGCAGCAGCAGCAGCAGCAGCAGAAGCAGCTTCGGCAGCAACAGAAGCAGCGTAGGCAGCAACGACAGCAGGGTCAGCAGTGCAGACATGGCCCCTCTTAGGGGCACCACACTTGCGACACATGTACTGCTTCTTCTTACCTGACGGCCCATATGCCACGGGCATTCCACCCGTTCCTGACGCCCCAAACCCTCCTGAACCTCCAACCGCTCCTGAACCGCCAACCGCACCTGGCGTTCCAAACGTCCCTGGCAGGCCTGGTGAGGCAGAGCGCACCCCCCCCATGTGATCCAACTGTCTGAGAGCTTCTGGGTGCAAGGGCGTGTGTATGGCTGCTGCACCCCCCACCCCCATGTGAGAATGACCCACCTGTGCCCCTCCCAACGCAGCAACCGGAGTAACAGCCAGTCCTGACCCCCCCACTCCGCTTCCGCCCTGGTTCCCTCCTTCCCCTCCCACCACCCCAGCACTGTCAGTGGCCCAGGGAATCAGTGCCTTCACTGGTGTTGCCTCAGCCCCTGGCCCTGCCATACCTGCTTCCAGAAGACCCGGGTTCAAATCCTGCTGCTGCGCATAATCCCAGCCCAGAACTAGGTGCGGATTGGCCCTGAGGAACTGTTTTTTCCAGAGGTTGGTGGTGCGGCCAGCAGCAGAGCCAGGGAAGAGTAGGTTAAACCCACCAACCCCTCCTGTGGCTCTCATTTGATCCATGAACTGATAGTAATACTCCTCCTCCTGCTCCCTAGATTTGAGATCGAATCGGAGATCGAATCCCCACACTGTCCATTTCTCAGCTTCATCTACCTCCTCCTCCCCCTCCTCTTCCTCTGAAGCGTCCCCTGTCAGCAAGAGTTCATCACGCTCCCCTGCTCCCAACCCTGCCTCTCCCCCCCCCTCTGCTGGCTCTACCGCACAGCCTATCGTACTCGTTATAGCATCATGCTCCGTTCCACTATCTATAACGCGCTCAGTTTCATTCACTATAGCCCGCTGTATGACGTCCAACCCCCGGAGGGTGCTCTCCACAGTAACGAGCGCCAGGCAAGCCCCCTCGTTACTGTCACCCCCCTTCGTAGCAGCATCTCCCTCTGTCTCCACTATGCTGACCTCGTTCCGCTCGCCTTCCTCCCCAGACACACCCACCACACCCCCTCCCCCATCCCCACCTGTCAAACGGTCCACACATTCTGTGTGATTCCCTCCTCCTCCTGCTTCATTACCCCCCTCCGCCACTACCACCACACTCCCACTCCCATCACCACCTGCCATACACTCCACAACTGCCCCACTCCCCTCTCCTGTCTTATTCCCCCTCCGGCCTCATTACCCCGCTCCCTCACTGCCACCTGCATCTCGCTCCCACCTGTTCCCCCGCCTCGCCTTCCCCTGTCCCCTCCTGACCTGCTTCCACGCCTGCCTCATGCACCCCCCCATTTCCTCCCGGAACCAATATCTCGTCCCCTGACCCCGCGTCTCCACCCTTTACCCCTAGCCCCTCGCTTCCCTCTTCCACCACTGCCACGGTTCCCTCCTCTTCTGCCGCTCTTCTTCCCTCCGGAACCCCTGACTTCTGTCCCCCCTCACGCTCGCCGGCTGCACCCTCAGAACTTTCCCCCATGACTGCCCCGCCTTCCCCAGTTGTACCTGTCCCAACAGTAACAGCGCCAGATGTACCTGCCCCACTTGCACCTTCCCCCTCCTCTGCTGCAGCACCAACAGCGCCCACTCCCTCCCTTTCCATACCTCCCAAGTCCCCACTCTCCTCCCCCTGCTCCTGGTCCTCCTCGTGTGCTTCCCCCTCATCTTGGTCGCCCCCCTCCTCTCCTCCCTCCTTTCCTCCCTCCTCCCAGCCCCCCACCTCCTTTCCACCCTCCTGCTCCTGCTCCTCCTGCTCCTCCTCCCCCCTCTTCATTCTGCTCTTGCTCCTGCTCCTCACCTGCTTCCTCCCCCTCTTCCTCTGCTTCTTCCCCTCCCTCCTCATCCCACCCCTCCTCTTCCTCCCTGTCTTCTTCATCTCCCTCTCCGTTCTCATATACTTCCTCCGCTCCGCTTCCCCCTCCTCCCCCTCCTCCTCCCCTTCCTCTTGCTCTCCTTCATCACCCCCCTCCTCCTCTTCCTCCCCTGCCTCCCCTTCCTCCTCCTCCTCGTCCTCACTGTCCCATCCCCTCTTTCTACTCAACCTCTTGGATCTCCTCACCCTATCTGCTTCCGCTACCCCTCTCTTCCTTCCCCTCGCCTTCTCCCCCTCCCCCACACCTTCCCCCTCACCCTCCGCGCCCTTCCCCCGCTCCTCCGCGCCAACTGGCTCCGCGACCTGCTTCTGCAGACTCATCCGCGCGGCTATCCCGCGGGTAATCCGCCTCTCCACCACCCCCGCACTCCCCCCTTCCGCGCGGCCACCTTCCGCCTTACCAGCCGCGGGGGAAATCGCCTTCCGCGGTCGCCCCCGCCTCTTCCCTGTCTGGGGGAGCGAATCAGCGTGCGCAGACAGGGGGAGCGCACCACCGGGGGCGGACGAGGGCAGCGCGAACAAGCTTAGCGCGAGGCTCCGCATCCTCCCCTCGTTTCCCGCGGGTCCCGCGAAGGGCGGGGGAGTGACAAGGCGTGCGCTTTCTGCGGAAGCGGGAGGCGAAATTGGGGCAGAGAGGGATTCCCAATGGGAGAAACCCGACATATCAACTCCGATCGGCTCTGTCATTGCCTCCGGAACCCCCCCCTGCTGCTGCTCCTCCTGCTGTTCGTGCGGCTGCTTCGGCTGCGCGTGCGGGTGCGACTGCTGCTGCGACTCCACCCGCAGCGATTGCGGAAGCTGCTGCGCAGACGGCGCGGGCTGCCTGGCCCCCAGCGTCGGACTGACGTCCGCGTCGGGCTGACGGGACGGCCTGGGGGGACCGGATTGCGGACGGGACGAGTCACCGGAAATCGACCCTACTTCTCGCTCTCCATTCTCAAGAGCTTTCCGCGAGCGCACTGCGCGGTCTGCGGCGGGCGGGGCCTCCGCCAGCGGGGAACGCGAGGAGTTGGGCGGCGATGACTGGGGCGCTACCGGCCCCGGAACTCGCGCGAGCTGCGCGTCCGCAACTTGCGTCTCTATCGCCAATGGGAAGTCTTTTTCCGAATGACAACGCTCCGACGCGGCAGGCTCTTTGCGCGCGACAGTCTGCTCTAGGTCGCTGGGTACGGTGCGATTGGTACTGATGTATGCGACCGTCGCAGGCTCGTCGCATGGCCCGTCGCGGCTTTGCGGCGACGCGCATTGTCGCAAGGCCGCTTGGGAGCACGGTTTCGGTTTATCGTCTTCCTGCGACTGCTCGTGAACGAACATCACTCGCAGAGCTGAGCGAACTACGAGGACCCTTCGCCCAGTCGCACAGGTCATGCTCGCGAAACTAGGGTTACGACATGACAAGAATCTGCCACTCTTGAAAATGGCTATCTAGCTGGACCTTTCTTAGCATCCCGAGTGAAACGTTACGCGGAAAGAAAAGGACCGAAGCTAATTTCTGCGTTCGGCGCAATAGACGCAAGCCACATTGCTTTCTATAACCGATGACAGTTACAGGCGCGTCTTGGCATGACAAGCAACGAAAGGGACAAACTGCGAGATTAGAACTCTAATTCTCTCCCTAAGCGCGGCTCGAAATGTCAACAAATTAGAGTCAGGAATTTGAGAGGCCTCCCTTATCGTGTGACAAAAATTGCGGCGAGGAAATGCACCAAGAAACAGGAGACTTCGCGGAGAGATGTCGGCATTCAGCGGAAAGTTGCAAGTGAGAGCAGAGAGTGCCGGAGACGCTAGTTTGTGGGGTTTGCGTGGGGCAAGTCCCAGGAGGATTTGAAACTCCAAAGTTGATGTTCAAACGAACCCTAGAAAACTCCGAATATCGTAATGTCGAATGTGATTGTACATATCCACATGTCTAAGCTCTTCTCCTTAGAAATATCAGACTAACACATATTTCCGAGAATGTTCATCGGATATCTTTGTATCGAGAAACCGATTACTCTGATGTTCGCGAACTCCTCGTTTGGTTTCGGTGACCCTCGCCAATTCCCAAGCCCTGGCAAATCATCCCAAGGTCGTATCTGCCTTGCCCGACGTCCCAGCTTTGGCTTTGGTTTGGTTTGGTGGAACTCTGACGTGCAGACGAGTCGTCATGCGCCGCCGAGGACCCACAAACCGACAACCAGATCGGGCAGCAGACTTCCCTTCCGCCCCACGCCCCAACCAGCACGTTCGGCTCGGACAAGGGGAAGGGAGAGCGGAACTTGCGTGGTTGAGGAACTGTTTATCGGCGCGCTGACTGGCACGTTCTTCACCTGCCTCCTCGCCGAAACGCTGAACTGGAAGCGCGTTTCGCCTCATCGGCTGCTGGGCAGAAGCAGAGGGAGGGAGGTAGAGATGTGCTGTGCTGGGATGGGAGTGTACAGTGGATTGAATCTCGGCATTCGCTGGTGGACGGTGTTTCTCCTCTCCACCTGGTGTAATGAAGCATTGCCGCAACACAGCACAGCACAACAACCTTCCCGTCTCGTTCGTCCAGCAAATTGCAATACTTTCCGCATTTCTTGCACCATATTCCTTAGCCAACCGATCGACTGTCGTCCCGCGGTAGTATTACGTTAGCAGTCTAACTATCTTTCCCGTCTCAGGTCCCAAACGGCCATGCTAGCACGAATAAGATAACTGTCGAGATCCCCGACCCAGTGAAAGCGATCCTGCGCTGACGGTATTAGGAGCTAGGTCCTGCAATATCCTGCAGCACGTTTTCCACACCGTCGCCCTCTATTAGAACCGAATTGGTTACCTAGACCCGTCGACCTTCAATTTAAACCGAGAATTGACGCGAAAGAGTTAACTTTGACTCAATTATCGTCTCACCACGACAATTAATTTCGAGCCGATCAAGGGTCGCTTCTCCGCAACCGAATAATTCTTTCCGCCAGTTCCCTCTATGGCCGGCTCGAGTCGTCGAACCGCGTTCACCGCCATGGCCGCGTGCCTCCTGCTCCTCACAGCAAGCTCCGCGGCTCCGCGAGCGGCCGCGTTCCACGTGGCGCGGGATGCGCGCGACGGCGATGGCCGAATCAGCAGCGTTCTCGAGTCTTCTTACGACCGCGACGCGGCGTTGGAGCGAGAATCCACCTACGAGGAAGACGACGACGTGGCGCGAGCCGCCGGCTTTGCCACGACGCGTGGCGCGGGCCGTGATCCCGCGGCGCTCATCGCCACGTCAGCTGGCTTCGCATACCCAATGGCGGCTCCCATATACGTGGCCAAGTCGCAATGTAAGTCACGATTAACGGCGCGCTGCGACGCGCAACCGCGCTTCTCTCCTATTCCTTCAACAATTACCCCCCAACGGCCCTCAAGTCGCCGTAATGACTCACCCTTCCCCCCCCCCCCCCCCCCCCCCCCCAAGTGCCCGTGATGATGTCACTAAAGGCCACGTGGTCCAATTACGCGGACCCCTCATCCCCCAAGCCTATCCCCACCCCCTCCCCCCTCTCCTCCCATCTCTTCCGCCGCCCCAGTGCCCGTGATGATGACGCTAAACGCCACGTGGTCCAAGTACGCGGACCAACCTCATCTCCCATACCTACACCCACCCGCCTCCCCTCTTTGCCTCCAGTGCCCGTGACGATGTCCCTAAAGGCCACGTGGTCCGAGTACGCTGACCCCTCAATATACCACACCTACCCCCTCCCCCTTTTCGTCCTTCTTCTTCCTCCCCCCTCCCCCCCCCCCCGCCCCCCCCCCCCCAATGCCCGTGATGATATCCCTGAAGGCCACGTGGTCCAAGTACGCGGAACCTTCATCCCCCACACCCCACCCCTCCCCCCTCGTCCCTTCTTCCCCCCTTCTTCCTTCTTTCCTCCCCTCCTTTCCTCCCCTCTTCCCCCCACCAGTGCCCACATTGATGTCACTCAAGGCCACGTGGTCCAAGTGGGCGGATCTGAGCTCGTGGGACGGATCCAAGCCGTGCGATCAGTGGACGCGGATCAAGTGCTGGACAGATGGCACCATCAGGTCCGTTGATTCCGTGCCTGCAGATGTACGAACGCATCCCGTCCGTCCATTACCATTTGGGCATTTGTCATCACTTCACATCACCACTTCGAATTGCACCTTCACACTACCACTTCAGCTTGCGCCTTCAGGTTGCGCCTTCAGCTTGCGCCTTCAGCTTGCGCCTTCAGCTTGCGCCTTCAGCTTGCGCCTTCAGCTTGCGCCTTCAGCTTGCCCCTTCAGCTTGCCCCTTCAGCTTGCCCCTTCAGCTTGCCCCTTCAGGTTGCCCCTGTGTGTTTGTGCTTGCCTCTGCCTGTCTGTCTGCGGTCACATGTGATTTACCCCTCGCCCCGCGCCCCTCGCCCCGCGCCCCTCGCCCCGCGCCCCTCGCCCCGCGCCCCACGCTCCGCGCCCCTCGCTCCACGCCCCTCGCTCCGCGCCCCTCGCTCCGCGCCCCCAACAGGCGCATGGAGATGAGCGGGATGGGCCTGCGGGGCAGTCTGCCGGGGATCATCGGCGACCTAACCACGCTGGAAGAGCTGTCAGTTCCCCTTGCTGCGTCGCGCCCTTGGTGCTGCGCTCACTCTCACTCTCATTCTCTATCTCCGTGTAGCCACACCTGTTTTTGAGTCGACTCAAAAACACCTCCCTCGCATCATCGGCGACCACACCACGCTGGGAGAGCTGTCAGTATTGCTGCTCCCCTTGTCACCACACTGGGGAGCTCCCCTTGACACCTTCCGTATCTCCGTTGCTGATAGGATCCCTAGCAGCCCCCTACTCACCTTCCTCTTCCCTGTGTGCTGCACGTGCATTTATAAATAGTGGTCCGTATTGCCTCTTGACCCTCTTGGCCTGTATCCCCGTTACTGACAGACTCGTTACCAAGAACTGGTTCACCCACGAGTTTCCCAACTACCTTTCTAAGCTCGTTCGGTTGAAGAACCTGTGAGTGCACCGTTAATGCAGCAGTGACACAGTTATTCTCATAGTGCATCATTGATATGGATAATGCAGCAGTAGATAATGCAACAGTAGATAATGCAACAGTAGATAATGCAACAGTAGATAATGCAACAGTAGATAATGCAACAGTAGATAAACAGCAGATAATGCAGCAGTAGTTGCCCAATTTTACTTGTCACGTGTCCACCTCTCTTGCTTGCGCATGCACCACAACCCACCACGCCCCACTGCATCCCACCGCAACCCACCCAAGGCCTACCAGCAGATGTGTGTGCTGCTGGGTGTGTGCAGGTAAATGCGGAGCAACTACTTCAACCACACCATTCCTTTTTTTTTTTAACATTCTCAGAAAACAGAGCCTTGGCAACCTGCGCAGCCTCTACCAGCTGAATGACCTTCCCCCTCTCCCCCCTCCGCCTTGTATATGTGCTCTCCTGGGTGTGCTCTCCTGGGTGTGTGCGTGCAGCCAAGTATGGAGCAACTATTTCAACCACACCATTCCGCCCGGCCTTGGCAACCTGCGCAGCCTCTACCAGCTGTACGTAACGCAGCTATGTTGGAGCCATATCTGAGAATTTTCACCCTCTCCCCTCCACCTCGTCCGCATCTCCCCTCACCTTTCCCCGCCTGTGCGGGGACCTAAACATCAACTACTTCATCAAGGGTGGTATACCAAACACCTTCTCTCTCAACTCTACTCCCTTGGCCCCAACGCCCCCCCTTTGCCTTATTCCCCCTCACCTCCCCACCTCGCCCTCACCTTTCTCCTCCCGTGCAGGCATCTAAACATAAACTATTTCAAGGGTGGTATTCCCAACACCTTCTCTCAACTCACCAACCTCTACCGCCTGTGAGCCGCTCACACCAGTTACGAAACACTCGCCCATACCACTCACGATAAGTTAGCCGTCCCGGCCACCAATAACTCAATTTCTGAGGCACCTAAAAAATCGCCTCAAAAAATCGTTTTGAGGCGCCTCAAAACTTGCCCATACCGCTCACCGATAAGTTAGACGTCCCGGCCACCAATAACTCCGCCATCAGCCATCAGCCCATCAGCCATCAGCCATCAGCCATCAGCCATCAGCCATCAGCCATCAGCCATCAGCCATCAGCCATCAGCCATCAGCCATCAGCCATCAGCCATCAGCCATCAGCCATCAGCCATCACCGTTCTTCATACACCGTCCCGTCGTCCAGTGCATTGCCTCCCCCCGCCCCACACGCACCTCCCCATCGCCTTTCCCTCCTGTTCATCCCCATTCTTCCCCTCAACCCATTCGTTTCCCTCTTTCTCCACCTCTTTCTTCACCTCTTCCCCCTTCCCGTCCTCGTCCCTCTTTTCGCTCCACCTTCTCCCCTTTTCCCTCTTTTCTTCTCGTTCATTCCGCAGATTGTTTTTGAGAATTCTCAAAAACAATCGTCTCCTTCATTCCTCACTCCGCATCCTTCCCTTCCCCCATTCCTCGCCTCTCCCCACCAGCTTTGTGTCGTCCAACCTCCTATCCGGCACCTTCCCCAGCGTCATATGCACCATGACCACGCTCAGAGAGCTGTGAGTGTGCCGAGTGTTGCATACTGTGACTGCTGTGAGTGCTGGAAATGCTGTGGGGGCACATATGCAAACCCCAACAGCTTATCAACCTCAACATTCATATGTGAACGTACGGGTAAGTGACCCAACAGCTTAGATGTCTCGTACTGTCTCATCGGCTTATCAACCCTCTATTTCATGTTACCGGCCGTTTCCCCCCTCCCCTCCCCGCACTCCGCCATTTCCTGCCCCTCTCCCCATCCCCACGCTCCCCCACCTCCTTCCTCTTCCCCTGCCCCTCACCTCCCCTGTGCCCGTCCCAGGCGCATCAGCAGGAACCATTTTGAGGGCTCCATTCCCCCCTGCCTGAGCCGCTTCAATGCCTTTTCACTTTTGAGACGTCTCAAAATTTCCCCCCTGCCTGAGCCGCCTCAATGCCTTTTCACTTTTGAGACGTCTCAAAAGTTCCCCCCTGCGGGAGCCGCCTCAATGCCTTTTCACCCTTCCTTGCACGTTACCTACCACTTGTAACACCTTCCGTCCCCTCCACTCCCCTCACCCCCCCACCCCAACCCATCACTCGGCACATCCCAGGCGCATCAGCGGGAACCATTTCGAGGGCTCCATCCCTCCCTGCGTGAGCCGCCTCAAACTGCTTTACTACATGTGAGCCAGCCACTCAAATCGGTAGAATGTTTTGAGCTGCTTCGCTTTTGAGAATTCTCAAAAGCGATTCCCACATGTGAGCCAGCCACTCAAGTCGGTAGAATGTTTTGAGCTGCTTCGGTGCATGTGTGCTGCTCTATTTCATGTCAACGAGTAATGCTGCTGATGTGAGTTTCCCCATGCGTGCCCCGCCCCCCACTCGTGTATCCCCCGTGTGTGTGCATCTCTCCCCCCCAGGTATGTGGACACCAACAGGTTCACAGGACGACTGCCCAAGTCCATGACTAGGCGTCGCGTCTGAATGCCTTTCGTTTTCCCCTGCATGCCCGCCCACCCACCCCCGTGCATGCATCCCCCCTTCCCTCCCCCTTTCTCCCCCCCAGGTACGTGGATACCAACAGGTTCACAGGAAGGCTGCCCAAGTCCATTGGCACCATGACTAACCTGCAGAACCTGTGAGGCACCGCTCTCGACTCCTCTGTACTCCTTTGCACCTCCGCCTGCCCACTTCTTATGAACTATCACTCCCCTTTCACTCCACTCAGCCCCCTCTTACCCCCCTCTCCACCCTCCTCACCTTCCTCGTCTCTTCCCTTTTCCCCCTTCGCCGCCTCTCCCTATCCCTCCCGTACAGATTTATCAATCCGAACAGCATTGCTGGCCCTCTCCCCGCTCCTCCCTCTCACCCCTCTCAACCCATTCTCACTCCTCCATCCCTCCCTTGCAGCTTTATCAATCAGAACAGCATTGCGGGCCCTCTCCCCGCCACCATCACCCGACTAAGAAACCTGCGTATCCTGTACGTGCTCCCATGCTCACATGCTCCCGTGCTCGCATGCTCCCATGCTCACATGCTCCCATGCTCGCATGCTCCCGTGCTCGCATGCTCCCGTGCTCGCATGCTCCCATGCTCGCATGCTCCCGTGCTCGCATGCTACCGTGCTCACATGCTCCCGTGCTCGCATGCTCCCATGCTCGCATGCTACCGTGCTCACATGCTCCCATGCTCGCATGCTCCCGTGCTCGCATGCTACCGTGCTCACATGCTCCCGTGCTCGCATGCTCCCGTGCTCGCATGCTACCGTGCTCACATGCTCCCGTGCTCGCATGCTCCCGTGCTCGCATGCTCCCATGCTCGCATGCTCCCGTGCTCGCATGCTCCCGTGCTCGCATGCTACCGTGCTCACATGCTCCCGTGCTCGCATGCTCCCATGCTCGCATGCTCCCGTGCTCGCATGCTACCGTGCTCGCATGCTCCCGTGCTCGCATGCTACCGTGCTCGCATGCTCCCGTGCTCTCGGCTCTCATGTTCCTGTTCTCTTTCTCTTCTTTCATCTCTCCGTCCTCTGCTTCCTAGATCACCCAGCAATCCGAGCAGCAGCAATCCATAGCCTTCCTTCCTCCCTGCGCCCCTCTCCCTGTCGTTGCCTATCACCCCACCAGCTTCATGAGCAGCAATCCCAAGCTCACCGGCAGGCTGCCTCGCAATCTGGGCAACATGGTTGGACTCACAGACCTGTCAGTGCTGCTCGCATTGCTGTCAGTGCTGCTGGGCTGCAAGTGCTGCGAGTGTGCTGTCTGTCTGTCTGTGCTTCACACGTGATTCACACTCTCCACTCATACGCTTCACCACTCTTTTTTTTATTCCGACCACTCTACTCTCCCACACCTCCCACCCACAACCCCCAATCGCCTCTGCCCACCAAGGGCAGTAGCCTACGTCCACCATTCCATCTCACCCCTCCATCCCTCCCAAGCCCTCCTGCCTCTGCTCTTCACCCAACGTCTTCTCCTCTCCTTGCCCACCCCTATCCACCCCTCTCTACCCGTGTCTATCCCTGTCCACCCCTCTCCACACCTGGCCATCAGGGTGATGGAGTTTTGCAACTTCTCTGGCCCCATCCCACCATCCATCACTCGCCTCACGCGCCTGCAGAGACTGTAATGCCACCCCCCCCCGCCCCCAACCACCCACCCTCCCCCGCCCTCAACCACCCACCCTCCCCCCGCCCTCAACCACCCACCCTCCCCCCGCCCCCAACCACCCACCCTCCCCCCGCCCCCAACCACCCACCCTCCCCCCGCCATTCTTCCTTACACTCCCCTCCGCATCTCCACACCCCACATTTGCATAAACACTCTATCGTAATCAATGCAATCACATACCTGTTCAATAAAGCTCCACCTTTTCTTTTTTTCCACATCACAATCATCACTTCCGCTTCAAGCTGGTCTCTCCGCCCATCCCCCCTTCTCTCCCCCCTGTCCCCCCGTCCTCAGCCTACTAGACAACAACTAATTTCGAGGCACAGTGCTGGAAAACATCAGCAGACTCACCTCCCCCTTCTCTACAACACCCGTTCCCCACATCGCCTTTTTCCCACTTCTCCCTTGTCTCCCCTCTCTCCGTCCTCAGCCTACTAGACAACAACTACTTTCGAGGCATAGTGCCGGAGAACCTCAGCAGGCTAACAGACATCACCATCCTGTAAGCCCCGCCCAAGCGCTTTACACTCACTCGGATGCTTTCAACGAATCAAAAGTCTCCTGTAAATGGCAACGGCTCGGCTGCTTTCACAGTTATCTTGTTTTGAGACGTCCCAAAAGCGAGTCTTGAGACGTCTGAAAACTCCCTAGCGCTTTACACTCACTCGGATGCTTTCCATGAATCAAAAGTCTCCTGTAAATGACAAGGGCTCGGCTGCCTGGTTTCACAGTTATCTTATGCCTGCTTTGCTTTCACAGTTATCTTATGCCTGCTTTGCTTTCACAGTTATCTTATGCCTGCTTTGCTTTCACAGTTATCTTATGCCTGCTTTGCTTTCACAGTTATCTTATGCCGTGACACAAGGCACATCACCACACATGGCAAACCCCCACCTCATTCACACCCCTCCTCTTTCCCAACCCCTGTCTGCACATCCTCCTCAACCCCACCCCTCCCACTGTTCCCCCTCCACCCTGTCCCCGCAGGTACCTGGAGCGAAACTTCCTCTACGGCACGTTTCCCAAGGGGATATCGCAGCTGCCCAAGCTGGCCTACCTGTGAGTGCATCCAATCCCGCCTGCAATCACTTACTGCCACCTGCTCTGTGCTGCGCTGTGTATTGTAGACGCGCCTCAGAAACGGGATTTCTCTACGGCACGTTTCCCAAGGGCATAACCCAGCTGCACAAGCTCGCCTACCTGTGAGCCCATTCCTGCAAATGTAATAAGCTCTTTCTGCAACCTCTTACTGCACTTTCCCAAGCTCGTTTGGTAATAATCATAAGAGGTTCTTGCTCTTTCTGCAAGAACCTCTTTCTGCAACAACCTCTTTCTTGTGCCCCTCCCCTCCCCTCCCCTCCCCTCCCCTCCCCTCCCCTCCCCTCCCCTCCCCTGGCCTCACTCCTCCCCCCAGCAATCTGCACAGCAACCTACTGACAGGCCCCCTCCCCACCAACTTCCCCAGCACGCGCTTCATAGATTACGGCCAGTACAACCTGCGCAACAACTTCTTCAACGGTCCGGCAGTGGTCACCGCAGGTGGGCGGTCCTTCTGCCCCGTCAACCACACCTACACAGGAGTGTTCTTCGAGTCATCTCTCGCTAAGAACTGCCTCACTTACCCTGCTGGGAGCCCGTGTGTTAAGGCCGGCTTAGTGCAGGTGCAAGTGCCTACGAATGTGTGTAAGCGGTTTTGTAATGCGGATACGAATACGTGCGGTGGGAAGGGGTACTGCTGGTTTGGTGGTGGTAGGGACCCGTCTTGTGATTGCTTTAGGGGGTATAAGCCAACGGCTGACAAGCAATTGTGCGTGAAAGCTTGATAATAAAGATGTGAAATGAAGGCATCCAGTGGGCATCCAGTGGGCTCTGAAAGTACAATAAATCTGATGGGTATATATGTACTTTTAGTTTACAAATACGGTATGTGTTGCCCTACACTACACATATTGACAAGCATCACTTTCACTTCTATGCAGGGCGCCATATGAAGTGACACTGCAAATCCTTAGCAGCAGATAAAGATGTGCATCGCATTTCAACAAGTTGAGGTTACAGGACAGCGGAAGTTAACACTCATAGTCTTAGCATCTCTGTCTACAGCAAGTACGGTACCGTATAATGTCTCCTGCATTACAAGTCAAAAGAGCGCAACATTCTGTGATATACTTCTCCATTCTTACCATACCATCACCACTTCACCCACACCAATATTCACAACTAGCACTCTCCCCCCAATCTGTACCAGTCAACAAAAAAACACCTTAAAGCGCCTTCCACCGCACCACCAATACCAACACCCCCCCCCCCCCCCCCCCCCCCCACCAAACTGCCACTAACCCTCCCCCTCAGTTCATCACCTCACCTACCACCGCATTCAAAGCCACAAATTGCACCTCTCCATAACCCACCACCATCGACCTCCCCCTCTCACTTCCTTGCCCCTCTCACCGCCCATACCATCCCCCTCCTCCTCCTCCCCCACCCCCACCACCCCCTCCATTCATCACCTCATCGATCACAGCATTCAGATCCACCGACTTGCCTCTCTCCATCAGCCGCTGCACCACCATGCGAACCTTATCCCTTGGGAATCCCATGGCTGCCACGTCATCAACCACCTTCTCTAAAGGCACTCTCGCTGTATCACCCCCACCACCCCCTCCTCCCCCTCCTCCGCCCCCTCCCCCTCCGCTCCCCCCTCTCCCTCCCCCACCACTGCTGACAGGCTGTGCCATAGGTAAGCGTCTGTATCCACTAGGGGGACCGGCAGTAGGGGGGATGGACGGGGGAGGAGGCTGGGCAACACGGTACATACCTGGGGGCTGGGGGGAGGGGTGTGCAGGGGGAGGGGGAGCGGGGCCACCATAACCAGGCGGAGGAGGGGGGTAGGACGGGGATGGCCCTTGCCCCTGCATGTACTGCTGCTGAGGGGGTTGCTGTGCCTGCATGGGAACACCTGGTGGAGGTGGCATCTGAGAATGCATCTGGGGGGGCACCTGAGAGGGCATCTGAGGCGGGGGCATCTGTTGGGGCATCTGTGCCTGGGGCATGGGAGGGGGAGGTGCGTTCTGCTGATAGTACATGCCCCCTGCTGCAGCACCAGCAGCAGCAGCACTGGCAGCAGCAGCAGAAGGGTCGTACATGCCTTGAGGGGGGGGCATGGAGCCGTATGGCGGGGGAGCAGGGGCGGAGGCAGCAGGGGGAGGAGCGGGCTGCTGCTGGGGAGGGTACGGCGGAGGGGGTTGCTGGGCCATGGGCGGTGGTGGTGGTGCCTGGTACATCTGCTGCCCCCCCTGCTGCTGCTGTTGCTGCTGCTGCGGCTGCTGCTGCTGCTGTTGCTGCGGCGGCGGTGGCTGTTGCTGCTGCGGTGGTGGCTGCTGTTGCTGCTGAGGCGGCACATTATACTGACCTTGCTGCTGCTGCAAATATGGAGGAGCAGCAGCAACAGCAGCAGGTGGGGGAGGAGGAGCATAGGACTGCTGCTGCTGTGGCTGCTGCTGCTGCCGGGGATACATGGAAGGAGGGGGCGGCATAATTTGCTGCTGCGGCTGCTGCGGCTGCTGCTGTTGTGGCGCCGCTGGTGCCTGGTACTGAGCAGGAGGAGGAGCAGGCGCAGGGGCAGGAGGCGTGGGGGAGGGGCTGGGGGAAGGCGGAGGTGGCGCGGAGGCTTCAGGAGGCGCAGAGGGGACAGGAGCAGGAGGGGCAGATGCAGCAGCAGGCACTGGCACTGCTGCTGGTGCCGCCGCTGCTGAGGATGTTGCCGCTGCTGGTGGCTCAGCCACTGGTGGTGGCGGCGGTGGGGCAGCAGCAGCAGCAGCAGCAGCGGCGGAGGAGGAGGCGGGGGGGGCGGGGAGCGCGAGGAACTTGAGCTTGGAGAGCTCCGCCTGTGCCTCTGCGAGCTCCTGCTTGTCCCTCATCACCTGCAGATTGCGCTGCACCTGGTGAGGGGCACATGGGGAAAGGGGAAGAACGGGGGTAAATAGGCAAAGGGGGGGGGGGGAGGGGAAGAGAGAGGTTGGCCTACGCCTTTGCGAGGTCCTGCTTGTCTCTCATCACCTGCAGATTGCGCTGTACCTTGTGGGTGGGCAGGCATGTGTGGAGGCGGCAGGGTGGTGCATGCCATTTTTTTCGGTGAATGGAAATGCGATGCTTGTACCACATCAATTACGCTGCACCTGATCCTCGCATCAGTCCATGCTGCGGATACTTCTTTAAGAGTATCTCACTACAATCACTCACCTCTAGCAGCACGTTCTCCGCGGATCGCAGCCGCGAGTCCAGCTCAGCGTGCCTCTCCCCCTCATCCCCAGCAGCGCGGTCCACAGCGCCCTGCAGCGCCACTACCACACCACTGCCAACGTCCCCAGCCCAGCACTGCAAGTGTTATTCCAACAACTTACTCACCTCTAGCAGCACGTTCTCAACCGATCGCAGCCTCCCATCCAGCTCAGCGTGGCGCTCGCCCTCATCACCCGCAGCACGGTTCACCGCGCTCTGCAGCGCCGCCACCGCCGGCTCCACGCGTCGCACCCTGCTGCTGACGTCCCCCAGCGCGGCAGAGATGCCCTCGGAGAAGCGCTGCAGCATGCGCTTGGCGGACGTCACCTCCGTTGCCTTTTCAGTCGACTCAAAACTCACCTCGGAGAAGCGCTGCAGCATGCTCTCCATGGCGGACGTGACCTCTGCTGAATCTCACCTTTGTTGGCTGCTTCATAAACTCTCACTACAATCACTCACCTCTAGAAGCACGTTCTCCACCGATCGCAGCCGCGAGTCGACCTCAGCGTGCCTCTCCCCGTCATCCCCTGCAGCACGGTCCACAGCCCCCTGCAGCGCCGCCACTGCCGCCTCCACGCGCCTCACCCTGCTGCTGGCGTCCCCCAACGCGGCAGACACGCCCTCAGAGAAGCGCTGCAGCAGGCGCTCCATGGCGGAGGTGACCTCCGCTGCCACCTGCGCCACGTCCCCTGCTGTCGCTGGCGCGCGCGCTGCTGCTGCTGCGCGCATCCCCGCGCCCCCCGCGCCCCCTGCGCCCCCCGCGCCTCCCGCTCCCCCTGCTGCTCCCCCCATGCTGCCCCCTCCCCCCAGGTTACCACCCCCCATTCCGCCGCCGCCCATGCCCCCGTCTCCAGTGGAAAAGGATGGATGAGGGGGGGAAGGGTGTTGAGGCTGGGAGTGGGTTGGGCCCTGGTCCGCAGGAGAAAGCGGGAAGCGGGGAGGAAAGAGGTGAGTGAGTGAGAAGGAGGGAATGAGGAAAGCGGGTGTGGGTCAAATGATAAGAAGAGAGGAGGGAGAGAGGGGCGGGCACCACGCGGAGGGACAAAGACGGAAGATGGGAGGCGCAACGCAAAGGATGGACAGTGGAGAGAATACTCAAAAACCAACTAGGAGCACCACGCGGAAGGACAGAGGCGGAAGATAAGAGGGCCCAACAAATAGGCCGTGGATAGGGAAGAGAAGAAACGCGCGTTCGACAAGGGAGTACTCTCCGTGCGCTACGGCCGCTGAGCTAAGGCCCTTGAGGGTGCGGACTTCGAAAAGCAGACAGACTAATTTCAATTGAATTGTACAAACAGCACGAATCTCGGACGTTCAAAAAGAGGCAAAAAAGAATAGGGGAGTGAAAGAGAGATCAGAGATCAGCGTAGGCACACCTGTGAACTGAGGAAATTGAAGGACGAGCCACCAGCAACACCACCAGCACCACCACCAGCAAGCTCTGACAAGCCAGAACCAAGACCGCCACTATTCCCACCACCGCCGGTATTGTTCCCATGCTTTCCAGATTCAAGAAACGAGCTTGCCATGCCACCGCGAGACGCGGAGCCTGCGAAAGCCGACTCGGCGGGAGGACTGAGGGAGCGGACGAACGGCAGCGCGGGGTCGTTGGACGGCGGAGATCCGCTGGTGAGCGCGGACGACGAGGTGGCGGCATGCGCGGGCTTAGATACCGCGGCGGACGGCTGGAGGAGATCGAAGAAGGGGTCCGTGACGGACGGCTGCGCAGCACGCTGCGATTGGTTGGAGTCCATGGTAACACGTGCGTCTGCTTGCTATGCGTTGATTCACCTTGCGAAAAGAGAATCAGCGCACCATGGATATATGTACGCTATTACGGTATCTAAAGAAGTTACCAGCCGCACGTACGTTGACCCCTAAGATGGATTCAGAAAATAGGCACTAGGACGAAACTGCTAATGTGAGGTGGATTGAAAGAGGGATGTGCTGCTGAGGAATATCAGTTAGCTTGTGCTGGTTAGGCCTTGAGGAATTACCTGTGCCGGGCACCGATTTTGTCACACCTCCTTGAGGCAGTTTCCAGGCGCAACGAGGACGTCAAATGCGACATTCCCGATGGGTGGTGTACCAGGAATCGCCTCTTCGCGAGCCAGTGGCGATGGGAAGACGGTTGCGTGCAGCTTGGGTCCAGCTGCGTCACGCTTTGGTAAGATCGGTGGTGATTGACCTCGAAAGCTCCCATAATAGCCGCGCCTTATATACACCTGGGCTCCGGTAATTTCAGAATGTGGGCACCGAGCCGCGTCCTTGTCGTTTTGCCCTGGGGTTGAAATTGGGGGGAACAAAAAAGTTCCCTCTAATTTCAACACTCTCACGAAAGATTTCGGGGTTTCGGACTCTTCTGAACGGAGCGAAAGCGGTTTTATTCGGTTAAAGGTATCGGAGGGTTGTTGGGAGGACCGAACCGCTCTCAACCAGGAGCCACAGATGACGACAGGGGCCTTGCAATTAGGGGGAATGAAATTATTGGAGCCCAGGTGTAATATCATTGGAGTTGAAAGGGTAATAGCTACTTATGGACTGGTCACCTATCTCGATCATTATCTTACTTCACGCACTTCAAGATTATCAGCTTGCAGGAACAAACTTGACTAGTCCCACAATCCTTCTTAACAGATATGCTGGCAGCACAATTAATGGCTGCAATGCAAACAGCCAGAAAGCATCCTCTAGACGTAAAAAATGGGGAAAGCCATCATCATGCGAGACGGAGAAGCGGGGCACTGTGCACACAGATGCCCAGTAGGCTTCAAAACTTAATCACCTTCTGGGTTGAATGAAACGGATATGGTTGAGCTCCTTCCCAAGCTCATCGGCAAATCGAAGGCGCTTGCGCGGCTGAGAGGTAAAACAACGGGACACGGAAGACGAGGAGTGTAGAGAGGGGTTAAAAAAACGAGGAAAACAACCACAATATGGATGAGATGAGATGCCTCGACAAAATGAACAGGGTGAATACAAACTCTAGGGTAAGAAAGCGATGCTCTGAATGTCACAACCATCCGCGTAAGAGAGAGAAGGAAAAACATCCAGCATACCTTGGTTATGTCCAAGACTGCATGGCGCAGCTGCTCCATTTGGTGCAAGGCGTCATCAGCCAATGAGGACGGCACACGAGACGCTCCGTGACCATGTGAAGCATCATCCAGATTCTCACCCTGCATGAGCACCACATGAAAGAGGGTTTCAGCAAATGGGTACATTCACACATGGCAGCACTTGAACAACAGAAAGAGCTTGTTGCATATAATCTCATCCCTCACCCCAATGTGATTCCCTCTACCCTCAACCCTCTACCTCTACTCCCACGTTCCCAGACCCCCATCCCTCCCCACCTATCATGCCTCCCGCCTCACCTTGCATCGCTCCACGAGCATTCTCACTGCCGCCTCTGCCACCTCCATCTGCCTCGCCACTCGCTCCCGTGCTGTTGGCCGCACCCCCCTCGCCTCCACGCACGTCTCTCCTCCCTGCTCCTTCTTACTCCCACCACACGCACTGCCACTCTCGCTCCCTTCCCTCTGCCGCTTCCGACCCACGGTTCCCATGGCATTGCCACTCGTGACCTTGCAAGAGGAGGCTGCGTTACTGCAGCGTTCTACAAACGAGGGCTTGAGAATGCTCTTAGGAGGGGATGGGAACGAAGCAGTCGGGATGGTGGAGGGTGTGAGCAATTGCTCGAGGGACTCGGTGGGAGGTGGGGAGAAGGAGATGGGCGGATAGTGGAGAGGAGAGGTGGGTGAGGAGGGAGCGGGAGGGGAGGAATTCTCCATGGACAGGGAGAGGACACGTGGCGGGCTGCCACTGGCCGCAGGAAGAGACGTGCAGGTTCGACCGTGCCCTTGGCAGTCCTTGTGCTTGTCCACGTCATTAAGGGACACGTCATCGTTATCTGCCACGTCATCAACCACCTCCACTATCTCCGAATCGTCAACTGCTTCCACGATCTGAACTATCTCCTCGTTGTCGTACCTCACCTTGCACGGCAGCATTACCTGACCAACCTTCAAAACAATCGGATACCCATCCTCCATCCGCTCCTCGTCCTCCTCCTCCTCCTCTTCCTCTTCCTCCTCCCCCTCATTTCCATTCTCCTCCTCGTCTCCCTCCTCATCCTCCTCCTCCTCTTCCTCCTCATCCTCACTCTCATCCTCGTCCTCATCGCTGTCACTTCCCTCCTCTTGCTCCTCGCCTTCGCCCTTCTCTCCGACCTCCTCCTCTTCCTCCACCTCCACCTTCACCTCTTCCTTCAAGTCGTCTTCCTCAATCACCAACTCGATTTCTTCTTCAAACCTCTCTCCAACCTCCTCCTCTTCCTCCAAGTCCTCTCTCTTCACCTCCACCACTTCCTTTAAGTCCTCTTCCTCAATCACCAATTCTTCGTCATACTCTTCCAATCCCTCCTCTTCCTCCACCTCCACCTCTTCCTTCAAATCCTCTTCCTCAATCACCAATTCGATTTCTTCTTCATACTCTTCCAATCCCTCCTCTTCCCCTCCCTTGTCCCCTTCGTCGTTCTCTATTCCCCTCACATCAGAATCTTCATCCCGTTGACCAGCACACTCTTGGATCGACGAATCGAACGTTATCCCGTCAAGACCGCTTGACATAAGCACATTCATATCAGAGAACTGCGATTCAGGCTCCAAGGACTCGGTCCACGTGTCCCTCACGCCATCCTCTTTCCTTTCGTCCAATCCCGTGTACTTATTCTCGCCCGTCGCGAAGAGCTGGCGAACCATCTTCGTAGGCACGTCCATCGGCTTGCGACGAAGCACTGGCGAACATCGCGGGTGCTCGTGGTTGTGCCCGTTCCCATCCAGCTCAGCTGCCACGTCAGCATGCTCCACCACTCTCGCAGCCACGTCACACGCAGCCAGCTCGGAGTTTACCCGCGAGGGACACGCGTCGGTAATAACCGCAGTCTGCAGACCAAGGAAGGTCCAAATTCAAAAAAAAAAAAAAAAAAAATCAGCCGACTTCAGATGAAGAACTATGACCATAGGAAACCAGGAATGCACACTGTATCGAGATGCAGAGAGGAACACAGCAATCGCCGGAAAGCGTAGGATGAACCGACTTGAGCGGAAACAGGAGCAAAGAATAGCGAACAAAATCGCGTAGAATCTCGAGCGTACCCCGGCTGTTCGTACTTCTTCTGAGGCTTCGGCGACAATGCCCGAGGAAACGGCAGCACCGGTAGCACCGGCAGCAGACGTGCGGAGCCTACTACAACCAGAACCAGCACCGCTCGAAGCAGCTGTTTGAAGCCTATCAGAACCGCTCGCGCTGCTCACGGCTACTGCAATCGCCGGCTTTCCGGACGCATTGACCTGAACTCCTGCCTTGCGAGGTTCCTTTGGGAAGTTTGCCGATCCTTCCGTCGCTCTGAACGCGGGAGCCATTGCTGCTGGAGCGACGGCGACTGCGACAGCGCCGTCAGCCGGGACGGAAGAATCAGTAGCGTGAAAAGCGGACGGAGAAAGCTTATGACGAGCAGACTTCGCTTTTACGACGCTGAAAGAATGATCTTCGTCTGCGCGTCTCGGGGATTTCGTCGGAGATGCGACGACTGTCTTCCGTGTCACCTTAACTCCGGTCTTAGGAAGGCAAGACCGAAGATGCAATACTTGGCTGCTCTTACGTTGGCCGAGGCTCGCACGCCAACCCCTAGTTCGCGCGCAGGTGCGCTTAAGAATGGACGCTAGAAATAAACCCGCAAGTTGCCGTGCACCAGGGGACAATGTCCCGTCGTCTATTTTAGACAGACTGCTCTTAGCGCGCGGACATAATGGCGTATTTAGGTTATAACTGGCAGAATTCTTATTATTAACTTTAACCGGGCTGCGGTTGGTTGATTGGCCTGAGATAGAACAGCGCTTTAGCGCAAAATTAGCTTCAGCCGAATTAGCAAGAATATGGCTGTGAGGGCAAGAAGGCCCCAGCAAGGAGTTTAAAGAAGCTGTGGGGCTTCTGTGAGCCTCATCAGTCCCGCTTCCCATATGTTCCAAACAACCCTAGCCGAAAGAATTAATGGCTGAACCTGAGAACGTGAGGTCTGCCATTCAAGAAGGGAGCTAACCAGGGGAATGATGCCATGCGGGGAATGGCATGGTATGGCGGCAGGTGGGCTGCCTTCTAGCGGACGTTTCCCGCAGCCCGTTTCTTGCGGGGACGGGGAATGGCGGGTTGGTTGGAGCGTAAAGAGAAAGCGCAGGGCAGGGGACTCGGAGGAAACGTTCCAGGCAGCGCGGTTGGCGAAGGCACGGTGAGGCAAGGTACGGAAATCCTCATAGCTCCGAACTGTGCAGTTCGCAGTCCATGGCGTGTCACAAGATGTTATGCGTTTTCAATCGGTTCAGTAAGAATTTAAACGGGTTTTATGGGTTTCAGATAAAACACGAACTCTCGCATGTCACGCCCGCTGTCAGTCACCACCGCTGCTGTTGGTGGCGTGGTGTTCAGCCTGTACGTCTCCCATAGGTCAGCGAAATCTAGCGCAGAACTCCTGGCGACTCCAGCTGGAGTGCTTTGCTGCGACATATGCGACGTTTGCGACTGCCGCTTTGTTGTTTCACTCTGGGGCCTCCAGTGGGTCCTCACTTTCGGCGAACAGGCTGGAGGAGAAACGACCATGCTGCCATGCCACCAACCAACCGGCGAGAAAGTGACTTCACTTTCATCCACTAGACTCGATGACTCGATGACACTTGCGACCAGCGAAGCATCAAGGCAGCCAATCATAACTCTCCATTCACCACAGCAACATCCATTTCCTCCCTTCCTCCCCCCTCCAGTTGACCATCCATCCATCCACCCGCCACGCCGCACGGAATCCCCCACCCACGCCTGCCTTGATTCGACATGCCATGGCGCAGCCATGTCTTGGAATGACGCGCAGGTGCGTCCCTTCCGCCTGACGCTGTCCAACGAGAAGCTTTCTTGTGGCTGGCATTTGGGTGCTCAAAAGGGCGACCAGAAGAAACATCACGCCCCAATGGGAGGCCTTCGCGCCAAGCTCAAGCATTTGAAATTTCGATTTCTTGAATGAGGAAATCGAGAATTGGATGCAAAAGCTATTTCGATTTCTAGTCCGTGTACATTTACGGATGTACTCAACATACAGCATTCTGAAACTCGAGCATCCCGCTTGTATCGAAGACAATGCCTTCACTCAATATCCTCGCCAGATCAGCCTTGACCCAGCTTTCAGTACAGGTGGCTTGAGAAGGGGCTACTAGCGAGCCACGTCGACTCCCCTTCCCCACAGACAGCTTCGGCATTCTCCAGGTTCTCCCACGCATTGTATCATTTCACTACTACCTAGCCGAATGCTCTGCCCAGCCAAATTCCTGCATTGTGCGAATGCCTGATTCCTTCAAAATTCCGTGTCAGTAAAGTTCCTCTGACGACCTTAGCCTGACACGGAAACTAGGTCTGATCCGCTGGAATTTCGCAACAATGATCGGGCTCGTCTCTCCCGTTCGTGTGCAGATTGTACCAGTGGCAAGTCAGGGATGTAGGAACAAAGGCATTTCACGATGGAATTCCGACAGTCTCTCCAGATTTGTCGCCAGACCACCTGCCGTTGTTGAGCGTTCGGCTTTCAAATGTCGTCAGCTGGCGGTGCGATCAGGTTCGAATGATGAGGTAAGAGCATGAGCAAGCATATGCGGGGACTATGAAGAATGAGAAGACTACATTAAAGTGCTGAGAGTAGTCCAAAGGAGAAAAATGAGCGAGCAGAAATATGATTACCGTAACGATTAATCAGCACAAATGTTAATGCTTCCTAAAGACGTTCCCTGAATGCCAAATAACAAGTGCAGCGACAACAAACACGTTGATTCAAACAAATGAAAGTGACATTGACATACTCCTGCTTTTTCTGTCGCTTCAGGCGTCAGTCACGCCAGAAAAAAAGGAGCCGCAGCAACAGACGGATACGGAGAAGGAAGAGCTGGCAGCGAGGCTAGCGAAGGCGGAGGCGGAGGCAGCGGCGCTGCGGCTGGAACTGGAGCAGCGGCGGCTGGAGAAGGCGGACAATCTGATCCGCATGAAGCCCAACAGCGACGTGTACATCGACGGCACCGGCGCGCGCGAAACCATCTTTCAAGGACCCGTCGTCACTGGTACATTTCTTCTTCAATTACGAACCCCTCTCTCCCTCGTCCGCCCCTCTCCGCGCCCCCTTATCAAAGCAAAACATAACCCGCCGTCACTGGTACTCCTGTTTTGTTTTTGTTTTCTTCTTTTTACAGACTCTAGTTTCCTCCCGTACTCCTCGTCTCGCGTCCGTCTCTTGCTGGGCCCTGACGCCCTCTCATCCTTCTCGTTGTGCTTGACGGCGTCCGCTTCTCTCATCCCGCAGGGAAGTCGGGCAACAAGGGAGCAGCGCGGTCGTGGGGCTTCACGGAGACGGAGCTGCTGAGCGCGCAGGCCGGCAGCGAGGGGGACGGCGATCTGGACGGCAAGGAGAGGGACGGCATTGTCACGCGGCGGCTGCTCATTGGTGCTGGCCTCGCTGTGCTGGCACTTCCCGTCGCGCTGGTATGGCACCTTCGATTTCGTCCCTATTTCCCCCTCCTTCCCGCCCCCCCCCCTCTCCCCCCCCCCCCCCCCCCCCCCCCCCAACTTCCCTTTTTTCCCCCCTCCTTCCGAATGCGACATTGTTGTGACCTTCAGATGCTTGCTGAGTCGACCACAAACCCCCCTCGTGTCTCTGGCTCTCCCTCTCTCACTCACTCTCACCCTCACCCCCAACCCCACTCCCACTCCCACTCCCCACCCCCCCCCAGTACGACATTCCTCTCACAGTGGCTCCTCCCAGCAAGCCTCTCTTCTTCTACGTCGTGCCACTTGTCCGCCTACAATTGGCTCTCCAGGCCATCGTTTCACAAGCAGACTCGCTAGGTCAGTGCTTGCTACCAGTGCGGAGCGGGAAACTTGCTGTGCAGTGGGGGCTGCTTGTTGTGTTGTGGGAGGGGGCCGCTTGCTGTGCAGTGGGGGCTGCTTGTTGCATTGGAAGGGGAGCGCTTGTTGCTGTCCTCATCCTTGAGCCTCCTTCTCAGCCATCTTATGCAGCCTTGTGACTCATTGACTCATTGCCCATGCAACAAACAACATGCGCCTATCTCCTCGTGTGTGTCTCCCTGATTGTTTGTGTCTCTCCTCGTCGGTGCATCTATACCAGATGTTGTGGCTCTGCGCTCGCAGCTGCGCTTTGCAGTGGGCACTGTCGACACCGTCAGGGAGAATCTTGTCAGGTACAAAATAGAATAGAATAGACCCAGTCATTCCACCTTCCCCACCTCCCCCTTCTTTGTAGGCTTTTAAGGTGGAGTGAGGAAGTCTTACATTAAAAGTCTTTCATTTCCTCCCCCTCCTTCCTCGCCTCATTCCTGCTCCCACCCTGTTTGTTGTTGAGGGATTGAACTCCCTTTGTGCAAATACTTATTACGTTTTTTTCCGGAACCCCTCACCTCATCCTTCCGTGCCACCTTTTGACGCCGCATTCATTCATCCTTCCATTTGCGTTTTTTTCCATCCATCCACTTCGTGTTTTGCTCATCCATCTTCCCCTGCCTGCGCCTCTGCAGCACCACGGTCCTTCTAGAGGACAAGTCACAGCAGCCAGCAAAAGAGCTCGCATTTGAGATTTTAGACTATCTGCAACAGGTGTGTATTTAGCCTCTCAGTCACACCTCCCCACTACCTTTTCCCAGACACATACCGTATAATCATTTTTACACTCAAACGCCTCCCTCTCTAACCTGTTTCGGCCATGCCCTATGTTCACATACATGCTGCTGAGTGAATGCAGGCGGATTACGGTAATTATTTCGAGAACATGGGTGCTCCAAGCCCATCACAACAGTAAGCCACGCTGCCTCGTCTAATGTTCCCCGGCATACAGTACTCGGAGACTTTCTGTTCAGATCTCCATTTATGCTCCCATCTCACTGCCGCTCTCACCTCCTTTGTGTGTGCAGGTTGGAGTTCCTCTCATTCAGCCTCAAATCTATCAAGGTTTGTGTCACGTTCCATCGCTGCTGACTTAAATATGGTTTAGTAGCAACATTGCTTATTCAGTCTGTGTATTGTCATGCTTCATAACTTGCTGCATTCGTTATCATGCAGGCTGCCATTTCGAGATTGGACAAGTTCCTTCGATACGTTCCATCAGAGGTCGTGGAAGCAGCAAACCAGCAAGTGAATCCGAGTTTCAACATTCCGGAAGTATCAGAACCTGAGGATACCACGGAAGGCTCTACAACTACTGCAGCATAGATCGATGAGGCTTAGCTGGCAGATGGCAAGACATGTCAAGCTCATTGAAGAGACTTGAATGTGAACAAGGGCTTTCTTGAATGACACCTCCCCAAGATTGGAATAACGTACTGTCATGTCATGTGTGACAGCTTGAATGTACTATTTACCATAAATCGCTCAGGATCAGGGCTTCAACCGCTTCATCCAACTTGTTGAGGCAGTTGGAATTATTTGCTGTAAAATATACCAAGAACCTTCACTTCCAAGCAGAAATTGTATGCTTTCCACCAAGAGCATGGACTGCATATGTACCTGCTTAAAGGCATAGTCTGCCCGCTAGGGCACCAGAAGTGGTCACTACCATGGAGCAGTAACTTTACTCATCAAAAGAATGAACAAGTACATCAAGTACCCATATATACTACCCTAGCACCCTCCACATGCATCATCCTGCAGCCTCAGGTTTACTCCATGAACTTTCAGCAGTGCCACATTTTTGGCGAGGTGAACCTTTGCCTGTTCAGGCGTCACAATGCTCGGCTTTAAGCAGGGGGAGCGGGAGCAGCTGCTGCAGGCGCAGCAGCAGCGGCTGGCGCAGCAGCAGGGGCAGGCGCAGCAGCAGCCGCAGGGGCAGCAGCAGCAGCAGCAGCAGCAGCAGGCGCAGCAGCAGGAGCAGCGGCAGCGGCAGGTGCAGCAGCAGGGGCAGAGACAGCTGCGAGCGCAGCAGAAGCAGCTGAAAGCGCGGCTGCGGCAGGAGAAGCATCAGCAGCAGGCGCAGCCGCTGCAGGTGCCGTAACAGCTGAAAGCGCGGCAGTAGCAACAGAAAGCGCAGAAGCAGCAGGAGAAGGAGCAGGCGCTGGCGCGCCAGGAATCATCTGCAGCAGGAAAAGGGTAGATTGAGAACTATCCGGAAGCAAAATCATCACTACTGAGGAATCGTGCTACTTACCGTCTCAGCTTTACTGAGGAGATCCCCGAGCATCTTGGCTTCATCGTCAAAACCAGCCTTTTTCACCGCCTGCGTATGTCCAGGGACACCGGCAAGTGGGATTTTGCGAATACTGAAACACATAAATCGGGTAGTAGTTACAGACGAACGGCACTTACCTCGTTGCATTGTGCAACAGCTACCGCTGCTTTCGCCTTTTCGACATAACCAGCTGCATCCTGCAGCGAGATGCCACCGATGCTCAAGCCCTCGGCTGCGGGCGCGGCTGCAGGAGCGGCTGCGGGCGCTGCCTGCAAAGAAGAGCAGAATCTACTGTTAAAAACTCGCGCTTCATATAATACGAACGCGTGCCCTAACCACAACCAAATGAATTTTGCCGAAACTAACGCTTACTTCCTCTTTCTTCTCCGTAGCGGCGCTAACAAGGGATGCAGCCTTGTTGAAAAAATCCATGCTAAAAAACTCGGAGTGGAGAGGGAGCCAAGCGGAGAAAATGAAAGAAAATGAGCTGTGGCTTCCTTCCAGCAGTGAGACCTGCAAATGACAATCTGGAGTTGAAATGCCTCAATGCTGTGCATAGAATGAATTGATACTAGTCCTTTTCCGCGAGGTCCAAATATCGCGAGCTGCTGGATGAATTGTGCCCCCTGTTGGTTCTTGCAGCGCTTGGTCGGTCCAGTACAGTAATGTCAGTGACAGGGCTAAGGGCTAAGGTTTGAGTTCAGCAGAACAGAATCAGGTATGGCCGAGCCTCGATTGCGGCTAGGCCGATGTCAGGCTAGTTGAATTATGTGAGTGATAATTATGTAATCGAACGGCCGATAGTGGTCCAGCAGGCTCTTCAGCCACATGTGTGACTTGGATACTTGGAAAAATATGAGATTTGAGGTTGTCAAAGGGGTGAACAGACCCAATGCCACCAACAGCCCGAACCAGAGTTCGGAAGCCAAACCACAGATCCAGATTCATCATCCAATCAAAATGGCGCACGAAAGTGTGGTTTACGCCAGACCACATTTCAGCGAAATCTAACCAACCAAACCTCGAGGGCCAAATATCCCACCGATCAGTCTGCAAATTGCCACGTCATGTGATTGCCTTGCGCACTCATTGGCTTGTGTCAGCACCCAAGACTACGAGCATGAGCCTGTAGCAAAATGGTTACAGAATTCATTGCCACGAGGGGCCATGGTTGCACTTTCGCCAGTCTACCATTCGCCACCATGAAATTCCACCCAGAAACGGAACAGCTTCTACTGCGAATCAGCCTAGGTCCAACCAGAAATCCCGAAGGGGGTTCCCGCCTTCCAGGTACAGCAGGCAAGGGATCCCAATTCAAATCACAACGGCTACCTTCCACGGCTAGGGATTCGTGGCCTCTAATTGGCCAATATTGACAGTTCGAGATTGAGCGACGCTTCGGCAGATGTCGAGCTGACGGATCCACCTGATAGATTCACAAATCGGCTGTGATTAGGACACGTGACGGAGATTGGGACAGTGACGGAGTGTAGCAATCGGAGGGTTCCAAACCACCTGAACCGCACAATCATGTGACACGTTGGAACTTCGACCTACGGTTGAGATTTGAATCTAGCCCCAATCTCCTCAAAGAGTAAGAGTTTGGAACCGTTGGATATAGTTTACGGGAAATCAGAGTCATTCCGGGGGGGTAGTGAGCCTCAATTTGTGAGCCTCAATCCGGGGGGTAGTTTACGGGAAATCAGAGTCATTTCCTGCTTCTGGGCCGTTCTCAGCCATTTTCGACTCGATTTCTCTCCAACGTGGCTGATTCTGCTCGATTTCCACTGAGGCTTTGCTATTTGAGAGCAATTTCCTTCGTTCTTGCTAGCGAAACTCTTCCATTTTGTTTTCTCAGCTCACACCAAAATCGTTTCTCAATCGACATTGGACTCTTCGTGATTTAGCCGCCAAATCCGCCAAGCTGCACTCAGTTCGTTGTGAAGCTCCAGCCTTCGAATTTCGGTATGTACTTGGTCGCTGATTTGTCATTTCATGCAGATTTTAGCTTGTTCTTCACATGCGAGATTTAACTAACCAGATTGCGTTTCTTTTTCGCGTTGCAGGCATTTTCCACGTTCACAGACCACTTGAACTCGACTTCGACGCGCTTCAGCGATTTGTACATCTTCGCCAAGCTGCTGTGAAGTCGTCACCCGAAATTCAGCGATTTCTGGTGAGCGTCTTTCGTTTCGCCGTTTTCAGTCCGTTTCTCATTGTTTGTAGTACTATCCGCAGCCTATTCTCACCTCGTTTTCACCCGACTGAGGTTTATTTCTATTGATATCGTGCAGGTTCTTCTCACGCTGTTTCGCCAAGCAAACGGTTGGCGGCCGCTTGCTATGTGATTAGGCGTCGCCAGTTTGTGGTTTCGCGTTATTTGGTGCTTCTTTCATCGTCCTCTTCGTTGCACGGCGGAATCGTCGTCTGCAATTGGGCGCATGGCGATGCCTTCTTTAACCCTCGCGCTTTGTTCCTTTTTGTGCATGCACCATGCATCACACTCCCTCTTTCACTACCCTCTGTCACACCCATGAGACCTCCCTCCCCCAAGGTAGCAGGTAAAATTTTTCTTGGTACAGCCTCAGGTATTTGTTTTCATTTGATTAAGCTGGTACGAGGTCTCTTGGGTGTGCCACTGCAGCAGTCCATTCATGCACGCATCATTCTTGCACTTGCTGCACTCTTCACTCTCACTTCACTCCTCTCATCTTTGCTTCTTTCCTCACTGCTCTCCCCCCTCCTCTGCTCCCCATTCACTCGCCCGTTTTCTCCCCTCCATCCTCCCTTCCTCTCTCTGTCCCGATCTGCCCCCTCTTGTCCCAGCAGGTCGCTCACACGGGAGTGGCAGTGGCGGGGGACATGGAGTGCACAGGCAGCAGCTGCTCTCCACCCAACCCACCCACAGCTAAGTACCCCGAGTCTCTTCTCCCAACCCTCGCATTCTGTTGCTTTTCGTGTGCTGCCCTCTGTCCCACCCAAGAGACCTGAGCCTCCCTTCAAGCTTGAGCCTCTGGTCATGCCACAACTTCAAGCCACAGACCCCTTTTGTTTTTTTCTGGTAAATCACCCCTGGTACAGAAGGTATCCTTTCAAGTTAAGCCTCCCTTGGTATAAAGCCCTTTTGGGCCTGTGGCTTGTAGCTGAGACTGCACCAGTGACCCCCTTTTCTGCTGTCACCTGCCACCCCACTACACCCCACCCCACCCCACCCCACCCCACCCATGCACTCGCTTTGCATCGTTGACCTAGCTGCTCTCCCTTCTCTTCAATTCTCTCCTTGCTGGTTTAGGGGAGGGGGAGGGGGTCAACGCCGCCACTCCCCCGCACTCCTCCCCTTGTGGCTGCGCAGGTGGCAGTGGTGGGAGGGGAGGAAGACAGCACTTCACTCAGCGGGGATGGGATGGGAGAGTATCGGGATTGGGTCGTCTGGAACAAGGTGAGCCTCTTTTTCCTCATGCCCTCTTGCTGCTGCTTGGTCTGCTTCCCATTCTCACTTCCCTTTCTTGCTCCATCCCTGCCTTTACGCTTGTGCTTGCTCTTCCTCCCATTCTCACTGCTGTCCCTTGTTCCTTGTCTGCCTGCCTCGCCCCTTCCTCTCAGCGTTCTGCCAGCGCCCAGTGCATTGTATTCTGTAGCAGGGCGACAAGGGGGAGCAGGAGGGCAGCACAAGGGGGAGCAGGAGGGCAGCACAAGGGGGAGCAGGAGGGCAGCACAAGGGGGAGCAGGAGGGCAGCACAAGGGGGAGCAGGAGGGCAGCACAAGGGGGAGCAGGAGGGCAGCACAAGGGGGAGCAGGAGGGCAGCACAAGGGGGAGCAGGAGGGCAGCACAAGGGGGAGCAGGAGGGCAGCACAAGGGGGAGCAGGAGGGCAGCACAAGGGGGAGCAGGAGGGCAGCACAAGGGGGAGCAGGAGGGCAGCACAAGGGGGAGCAGGAGGGCAGCACAAGGGGGAGCAGGAGGGCAGCACAAGGGGGAGCAGGAGGGCAGCACAAGGGGGAGCAGGAGGGCAGCACAAGGGGGAGCAGGAGGGCAGCACAAGGGGGAGCAGGAGGGCAGCACAAGGGGGAGCAGGAGGGCAGCACAAGGGGGAGCAGGAGGGCAGCACAAGGGGGAGCAGGAGGGCAGCACAAGGGGGAGCAGGAGGGCAGCACAAGGGGGAGCAGGAGGGCAGCACAAGGGGGAGCAGGAGGGCAGCACAAGGGGGAGCAGGAGGGCACCAACAGAGCTTCGACTTTCCCTTTCAAAAGCTAAGTGCTCTACCCTGAAGGTTCTCACCAGCCCACTTCTTGGTTTGCTTGCTTTTTGTTCCGCATGCTCATGCGCCCATCCCTGCTCTTGCTGCAAGGGGACACGCCCAGGGAACCAAACACCTCCCCAGGTAACAGATGGTAGGTTCAGCCTAAGGTAGCAGGTGCGCTTCTCCTCAGGTGTGGTACCACGTGGTAAACACCCTCGGTCGTGTCCCCCTTGCAGCCAGCGCTTTCACCATGATTTTATTGCTCTGCTTGCTGTGGCGATCTCACCCGTCCTTCCCTGCCTGCCCACTGACCAGCTCTGCGTGTGTGCCTTGCAGGTGGAGGGGAGGGGTGTGTGGGTCAACACCGACGCTTCCCCACGCCCCTCCCCTGTGGCCGTGCAGGTACCCACGGGATGAGAGTGCGGCAGCACTGTAGCACACTTTGGCGCCACGAGGGAGAGTATCGGGGTGGGCTTGGCTTTACAAGGTACGTCACCTCCCTCCTTGGCCTTACCCTTCTCTCTCCCTCCACTTCATCATTCGCTGCTGTAGGTCTCCCCAATTCTGTCATGCTCATATTGGCTGAAATATTTTCATATTGCCAAGTGTGTTTCTATTCATGCCAACTCACCAGTTCCTCCTGTTCCTCCTCTCCTGTCCCTCTCCCCCCTTCAGCATAAAGAGAGGGCTGGAGACACTGGCAGCCGAGCAGCAGAGTGGGAAGGCTGGGAGGAGGGCTGCCGGGGAAGGAGTCACCTGGTGGTGCTTCACCTGCCTTGTGCTCGCCTCCAGCTCTCACTCCCTCAGATAAGTGACCCTTTTCCCTGACCTCACCCTTGCCTGCCAAGTCATCGCTCGTTTTTGTCCCCATGTGCTTTGCACCCTTCCACTTGAAACAATGCCATTGGTTGGGCCTAGCACACATGCCACAGACCCCCCCGCTTCAGGTAACCCCTCAGGTGCAGGTACCCCCTCAGGTGCAGGTACCCCCTCAGGTGCAGGTACCCCCTCAGGTGCAGGTACCCCCTCAGGTGCAGGTACCCCCTCAGGTGCAGGTACCCCCCTTCAGACCCCTTTGGGTCTGTGGCTTGTAACCGGGACTCCACCAGTGGCTCCTCCCCTCCCTTCCCCTCCCTTCCACGGCTTCTTGTGCATTTTATTCCCATGACTGCCAACTGACTATCCCTGTGTGT